CAATCTCCTTTTTCAAAAGATACTGTGGGGGCACTTTTAATGCTAATGAGCTGGTCAGAAATTCTCACTTGAATTAATGGTCTGCACCCCGAAAGATCCAGTTCGTATAAAACGACCTCGCACGTCTCGTACATTACGAAGCTGTATTACAGACATGGTGAAAAAACTCTGCTCCTTGAGCAAACTCACACGCACGACGTATGATTAGTCATTCGTACGAGATCTAAGCTGTATATGCACGAGATATAATCCGTATGTAGTTATACTACTTATACCTACGACAAATAGGAATCATAACTCGTACGACCCAGTGGCGGGCTGGGTTTCTCCCCAATTTAGCACATGATGGTCTATAGCCCCGACAAGGTTGCCCCACAGGGGACTGGGGTTTACGGTTATATCAGAGCTCATTTTGTTGTACATTCCATCTTCATATTTCATAATGTGCCATTAATACGAACGAGGAATCAGAACACGTACTTGCACCTACAATCGTACGTGCAACTTATATCTTGCACTTATTGTCTCTTACGTACGATTTACGAGTCATTACTTTGGATATACGTACATATACGCCGTATGTGCGACACATAACTCGTATTAGCGTACGAGTTAAAATTCGTAGGTCGTACGTACTAGAGACAAAAGTACACGTACGACATGTCAGTACCCATGGGGGTGTAAAGTTCGTACGATATGTAACTTGTCCGCACGAGCTAGCTGAAAGGGAGAGCTGTCTCATCTGAAGTACAATACACAAGACGTAGCAGGCAATACAGGTAATAATGATGTTGCTTCTGGAGGTGACTGCTTTTAAAATTAAAGGATAGGCCTAGGTCCTTTAGCGAGTAGGTTCGGGCGAGTTTGGTGCCGAACGCTATTTATGTTCACAATTTAATCTAAGATTTGCTTATGCATGTCGAGGGCTGAAATGGAATTTCGGCTCTTCAGGCCAATAAACTGCCCCTTAGAGTTGCTAAACGGAGACTGAGATCAAACAATACCCCAGTAAACAATTGCACATTTTTTATGTATGAACAACGGCTTCAAGACAATGTACATCAAGATTTGAAAACAATGGAAAGCAACGTACAGTTGAACTATGATGTATCACTTTCCCTACACGGTAGCAATTTAACATAATATTGTTTTTACTTTATCAAAATCCAAAAGGTCTTTAATACCACAAATCGTTATGGTTTTTTGGTCTATGGAATCAGTACCGGTATTAACCAATCTTTTCGTGTGTGGAAACGTGCGGGCCATGAACAAGCAAACGTTGGAATCCGACACCCTGATATTAATTAGTTCTTTAGCCTACATATGCCTCTATGGAAACATTGGCCAGGCATCGATTTAGTGACGATGTTTTAGTCTCGATGCAGTTTGAAGCACGGTTGCGGCATGAGGAGTAACTGGGAATCGTACCTGACCAAAAAATCCGACCCAGGGCGGACATTCTGCAATGTGGCCGCCCTTGTTTCAAAGTAGGCATCGCCACAGCGTCATTGTACGCTGCCTGGCTGCTACACGCAAGCCATAGAAAGCGCCATAAAATGCCGCCGTTAAACCCAGCAAGGCAAAGTGCTTGTACCGACGCGGAGTAGAATTGGAGATCGCTCTGGGTCGTTTTTACGATATCAAATTCCGTATTTGTTTCATACTGCAAACTGCTTGCTTCGTCTCATTGAAAATTATAATAATGAGATTAAAAAAAAATCTGCTGCAAGGCAGCGTACAAATGTTTTAGTTAAAGACCACAGCCTTTTTTCAAAGGCCGCATTTTCTGTCTGATACACACACCTTTTGCATAAGTTTCAGTCAGATAATTGTGCCGCTCTGTGTATTCATAGTACCCGATTAAAACCCTGCAATGTGGTTATTTTTGTGTGAATTCCTTTGTTCTTCCATTTATTTTCGTCTTTCAAGAAGGGCATTCCGTCGCGTCGTGTTGTCTTACGTCCTATCCATGTTGCATATTTTTCTAACTACGGAAGGAGCGACAGCGACGATTAGGCAGAAAAATATTCGACACGGAAAAGACGTAAGACGGCACGACGCCACGCGTCGTGTGTGTACAAACGTAATGGCAAAAAGGCGATGGCGCGACGCGACGGCACGATGCCAGGGAAACGTCGTGCCGTCAGGTTTTGTAGTTGCGTCGCGCAGAGAGAGGCAGAAATGTGTGTTGTAAATAGTACACCATAATTTTTGTAAGGGTATATGAGAGATGCGTTTGCTCACGTAATCTTTAATGCCGGAAACCCCGGTCAGTGTGCAGCACTGCTTTTCATTGGTGCCCCCCCCCCATACAAATAAAGTAATAAAAAGACATATCAAACTTGGCAGATTAGAAAGACATCTATCACCAAAATACATAAATACATGAATATCAAATGAAAATTATGTTAATAATTGTTTGAATTTAAGGAACGCTTCTCGATATGCTTCGTAAACCTCTGAATATTGGCAAAGCTTTTAAAGTGGAAGATCATTCCACGACCTGTCCCCATGAAATTTGAAAGAACGTTTTCCAGTTTGGTATGTACCCTCTACAGCCGTTTGCAGCTGGTAGCTTAGAAGTGGAAAATGAGATTCGACGTCATGGGGTCGATGAACGGGAGAATGATATTTGTGCTTGTATTGCTGGGTATTAGTACTGCGGACCTTACATATAAATGCTGGTGATTTTAGTGTTCTCCATCTGGGAACTGTGGTTCAGAGCTGTAATTACGGTCGGTTATGACTGCAAAAGCTGATGAGGCCAGCTAATGACCGGTCATTAGCTGACCTCATCAGCTCTTGTAGTCGCAACGAAAACCCTGTCGACATGACTACGTGGCTTTTCCGTACATTAATTCCTTATCATTAACATAATAATGTGATTTCATCCCAATAAGCTGGAAATCTGGCCTCCAACCGAGTCAATTGATTAAAAAGCTAAAGATCCCGAATTGAGAAGAGATTATGCGTTCCTCTCATATACTCTCAGTCGCTGGAGAGATGTCCAAAGCATTGCAAGTAAACACTTTTGGAGACATGACATGCATGCAGCTACATGATTCCAGTTGAAGTGGAAAGCTCTGGCTATGGGCCTTTTGGCCTTCGGGTCCGTGCATTTAATGCAACATTTTAGATTGGGGGGGAGGGGGACCTTCACGGACTATTTCCAGCCACAATTACGTGTCACGCAAGACCAGAATGTAATTGACTCTTGATGTTGTATTGGGATTGTATATAACGAACGTATTTGTTTCCAATGCTGTTTTTGGTTGCTAAAGTGAAAGAGGAAGGGCACAGACTCTAATCAAGGACAAATCTCACAAAGAAAGGACGGCGGAGACGAAGGCTACCTTAATTGAAAGAAATCTAATAAATCAAACAAGCCAAGAAGGGCAAAATAATTAACCAATTTGTAATGAGAGAAAATAAACAAAAGAGATACCGGCATCTAGGACGTAGATGTAGAGGGGGCCTTGGTGTTGTAGTGACTCGGTCCAGTCACTGGCAGCAAAACCACTGGTGCTTCCTGGCAGCAAAATCAGTCAGGCTCGTGGCGACATCAGCACGAAATTTTTAAACCTCGGCATGAGATACGCTTTTTATCAGTATAAACGTGAAGTTTCGACCTACTAAAATAAGTGGTTTTGTTGTTGCGGTCATGCAGAGTCGGCTAGCCCCCATACATTGAACGGCAGGCCAGTGAGAAAAGTTCTTGGGTGATCCGTCTCAGCGCGAGAACAGCATGTCCATTTTTCACAAAATTGGTGTCAAAGTCAATGTGTCATTGACTCAAAGTCAATGAGTCAATATGACTAAAAAACTCCCGTGGGCACGATGGTTGAACACGCAGATAAGTGAGGAGATCCGTGTGCCTATGGGATCTGAAATCAGAAGCCTCACCAAGGGAGATAATTGAATTTAATTATTGTTTTATTTGAAATGGAACTTGTAGCCAAAGGCCAAATTTAGGCAATTTTTACAAAAAATTGAAATTACAAATAATATTATATTTCAATATTACATTGCCGTAAGTGTAAAAAAATATTTACATATACACAGTTCCGGAAACAAGGAACATATCAGTAAAATTTACCCAAACTATGCAGAGAACCTGCCTAGACAAAATGTTGGAAAGAGCCAAATCTGGCCAATATCCGCAGTAACAAATCCAGATCCCATTTCCAGATACACTCATCTGAAAGTGTTAATAATGATTCTACCCCCCTGGCTCTCGGAAAAATGTCACAGTGACTCGAAAATAGAAAACAAGTCATTATGGGCCCCGAGTGAGACCAAAGAGAGGACGCTATATTTCCAGCAACAATTTCCAGCGTTGCAGTTGCATCTCTAGTACCAACCAATTGAACACTCCCCATCAACATGGCTCTTTTCGATCAATTAAAGAGTTGCCCGTTTTGTCTCCCATTTTTAACGAATAACACTGACTCTGCAGTTGAAATGTAGATCTATCTTTTGTACTTTGACTCTGTCATGAAGGTGGCTGCCGATCACTGTGTTTCTGATGGCTCTGTCCGTGCATGCGTGTCAGGCCTCGACCATACATCTCTCCGGGATGCACGGTATGATCGCCTCACCGGGCCACCCCACCCCCTACGAGGACGACCTAGATGTGGAGTGGTTGATAAGCGTACCTGACGGGTACCGCGTCAGGCTGTATATGACCGCGTTTGACCTTGAACCCGGGTCAATTGGGTGCGATCACGATTACGTCATGGTGAGTTAAAACATAATATTACACTTTTTTTTCTCCTTTCAATTGTCACTTCGGTATTGTTTTGTCTGTAAGTCATATACATGTACATGTGTCTTCTTTCAACTTGTAATTCACTGAAGTTATCCATTACGGTTTTCCGTTGCAGTCTCCAATAATGGTGACATGGAAATTGACAGATTTGCAAGACGCTTCATTTTGGCAGAGTGGTACTTTCCTTGGCGTCCGTTTGTCTGACTCTTCAGATCCCACTGAGGAACTATTTTTTTCTTAATTTCCCACTGCCTTAACCTGATATTTCCTTCGTTGTCTTCTGCCTTAAAAGTCCTGGGTGAAGGCTTGTGTAGCGCAAAGTGGACCAAACATTTTATGCTTGTGCATACGTGTCTTTTAAGGTATTTGCACTCCCTTTGAGATCAGGTTATGATGAAATGTCAACCTGTGGTAACTCTCAGTTAAGGGATAGGAGTTTGCTCTTTTCTTTTTGGAGGTTTCGTCTGGCAATGATACGTTCGGGACGTTCTGCGGTCGTTCCGGTTCACGTGATTCCCCAGGTGATCAATCCCTGACGTCACAGTCCGGCGAGATGCAAGTTCTGTTCCACTCGGACTATTCCAACGAGCATCGCTACACGGGCTTCAGGGCACACTATGTGGCAGACGGTGAGGCAATCAAACTATTCGGTCAGACGGAATCGCGCCCTGTCTCCGCGACGGATGGAAGAGTGAAGGGGGTTGGGGACGAAGGCCACGCCATCAGGAGCCCCCATTTTTTTCAGATAACGAGAGTGATTTAATTTGTTTTGGTGAATGTCATTCTTCACTTTTACAAAAGTGTGTACAAAGTCCAAGAATGTAGCTTTACTACTTTTAAAAGTCAAACAAGGTTCCATGGAACATTTTTTGTCATCTTTTAGCCCCCACAAAAAATAACGTTGGCCCCCTCCCCTTCCAAAAAGAAGTTCGTTATTCACCCGTAGCTGGCTACTTCTATTTGTTGAATTACCAGGGTTTTACTCAACTGTTACTCATATTCATCTCGTTTTATGACTGCTTGTTATGTTCGAAACAAGACCGGTTCTGGGCGTGCTGTATTTTTTCACCCAAAATGTCTTCAAATCCACAAAGAGGATAATTTGTTCAAAGGTACATGTATCTATTTTAGTCATTACTATTAATAATTGATATATACTATTACTTTTTATTAAAAAGCGCAAAATCATATAAAAAAGATAATCCTCAGCTAGTTTTCGAAACCTGCAACCTTGTGGTTTTACACATTATATATGTGTTACTATATCTTAGACATTAACGAGTGTGAGGAAATTAGTGGTGTCTGTGACCATTTCTGCCACAACTACCTGGGTGGGTACTACTGCTCTTGCGAGTTTGGCTACTCACTTCACGAGGACCAGACATCGTGCCAAGGTAGGGGCCATCTGCTGGATGAAAATAGCTGGATGTCACGTAATCGTTGGTAAATGACGCTTTTACAGCAAAAACACCTGACGGTAATATGTTATATTAGGCACTAGAGTCACCCGACGGCTTAATTTTGTCGTGGCGTGAGTACAAAAACAGCTGACTTGCTTGAAATAGCGCTTAAGGGAAAAGACTAGTATCCTTTCCATTAATCGTCGCCTTATTTGGGGCGTCCTTGATTAATTCTTTAGCTCTCATATATTTCTTACTTTTAGGGAGGGTTGGTAGGTCAAAGAATAAATGGGTAAAAACGCACGCCTTCATTAATTCTTAAGGTTATCGTTTTTCTTTTCTTTTTTGCATAGGAATTTTCAAACAGAACTTAGAACCAAGGAATTAACTCCGTACTCCCCTATTTAAACGAATCACATGTGACATAATACGAAATTATATTACTACCGTATATGGTACCATGACTGTGTGCTTCAAAAGCTTCATTTATTGACGACAACAGGTACTCTGAAGGGTGGGGCAAATACGAAATTTTGAGAAAGCAACTGGCTATAGAGGTTTCGAATCCGAACAGCCTGGCTGTAACACTGACTCGCACAAATGCCTTGTTCTTGAATGTCCTTAAGAACCGGCTCATTTGGGTTTTTTTTGGCAGTGCACTGCTCTGGAATTTTGCTGCAGGCAGCGTCAGGGGAGGTTACGTCGCCTGGATACCCTTTGGCCTACCCACGGCGCTCCGAATGTGACTGGCTTATTCGAGCTGAGCCGGGTTATGTCATCAATTTGAACTTCGAGGACTTCGATGTGGAAGATCACCCAGATGTCAGATGTCCGTATGACGCATTGACAGTGAGTGGATTATTCTTTTTTGCCTGTGTCAGTTTGTAAAGTTTTGCTTTGTCCTTTTGTTGTTGCTGATGGCGTTTATTACAACGTAAAGGAAAGAAAGAATGCCCTTGGTCAAGGTTTCCCTTTTCAAAACGGGAACAACAGTTAAACAAAAGGGAACAATCTACCCTTTTTATTTTGCCATTTTTATTCGATCTATCTTTCAAAAAGAAAATCACACTAAAGTTTGTACAGTAGATCAATATGGACTCGCATTTGTACCGTTTGTTTTGTTAGTTTTATCTTTTTTAACTTAAAAATGGTTTCATCTGCATTGATTGTAGATCATCCAGGATGACCAGGAACTTGGGCCGTTCTGTGGACGAAGAAGGTCCGAGTGGCCGGAGGAAATGAGAGCCGACAGGCAGATCAGGATCTCCTTCGTGTCGGACGAGTCGGGGAATAATCGTGGTTTCCGTGCACGGTACAACTTCACAGGTAAAGTACTTCGTCGAGACGGCCAAAATACGTAGCCACATTAACAGACCAAGAAGGCCGACTTTTTTTACTGGAATTTGAACAAAGTCACTGTATAGGGCAAGGTCATAACGTACCCAGTGACAAAGTAGCCTCGGCTGATTTATTTATTTCGTGTAGTTTTACCAGGGCAGCCCCATCAACTGCAAGCGAGCCTTTCCCCCATGGGCTCTCGGTTACACGAGAAATTATTCTTAAAATACAACCTTATACATAATGATCGAGACCTACAAGTTTTTGTTTTTCCCGAAACTTTTTTTTATGATACATGAAAGGGATCCTCACTCCCAGAGAAAGTCTTTAGGTAGCACAGTTTCTGAATGTTAGCTGTTCCATTTCCTCGGAAAAGGCATCCTTTTGCCCTCTCCCGCTGGATACGCTACTGGCCTATACCAAGTTTGGTATACAGGGCCGTTTTTAAGCTGATGAAGTACAGACACTATTCGAAGCTAGTTAAACAGTTTTAGTGAAGGTCAGTGTTGTTCACCTGGCGTCCATCCCCTAATAGCAGTCGATCTGTACATTTTTACCACTCTTGCAGGTAAACCGTGTGTGGCCCTTGTGGCACCTTCCAATGGTTACGTCTCCGTCCCCAGCGCCACGGTTGGCAACACAGCTGAGTATAGTTGCGAGGAGGGCTTCAGAGTGGCGGGACCTGCTGAACGTGCATGCCTGCCGTCCGGGGAATGGTCCGGTAATGAACCGCAATGCGAAGGTGGGTTAAAAATCCAATTGCTTCTTGGTCTATTGTCTGACCAATCGCCAGATCAAACCATCTGTCACTGTCAATAAATGAGATCTTTCAGGTACAAAGGACAACATGCGAAACCTGAAAGTGGTATTGTATATTTTATCGTATTATGCAATGTATTTGCCATGCTGATAAGCGAGGCTGGACGTTAACAATGCGCCAAATTTTGCGTTTGTCTTCATAGAATGTAATAATTTGAAGACAGGAATTTTTGGGTGCAATCTGCATTTAAAACTGACCTTTTCCGAATAGGAAGAAACTAGTATCGACCGAGCGAGCAAGGAAAAAAAAACATGCAAAGTGAAACAAGTCCCAAAACCTTTAATGGAAATAAAGGAAATGGATGAGATTATGGAAATGGAAAGGATGAAGTGAGTATCAATTTTTGGGACCGACTGTATTACCGGCTGGCTTTGTACAGCGGCATTTCACAGCACTACTGGATAGCCCGATCTAGTGGGCCGGTGAATGGAGACGCCGTGTAAGTCTGAGCAAGTAGGGAAAAAGGGCAGATATCTTAGGATGCTCTGTTGGACCTGTCTGTTGATATTGAATGGTAAATGATCTCTCTGGTTGAACTACGGTCAAGTATTCTCACAGGGCTAAGGTGGCTCTCAACGTGAAGTTGGGTCGAAAGTTTCAAAGCTCTGTAATCACTAAAAAATATTCGAACAGAACTGAAACCACATACACAGGTGATGCACAGTACGATATTACACCAAGAGGTTGTCATGGACGGGCAATTTTTCTCAAGTTTTTGGTCAACATAGACATGGCCGACTCGCCACGATTGCCTCTGAACGTATGTTAATAAATAAGTAGAGGAATTGAAGATCGGGGCATTCCGTGCTTTGGAAAGGGAAGGGATGAATTGAAACTGATGTTCAAAGTACGCTGAAGAATCTCCTACCTGGACAAAAATACCACTGGAATAATTCAAGTTCTTGCCAGCAGGTTGCGAAGCAAATTTGACAACAATTTCTCACATTGCACTGCGAAATTTGTCTTCCTCTTGGTGGCGTATATCGTCTGTATCACGCACACTAAGGCCAAAAATCTCCGGTTTCTTGTCACCGCACGCGTCGCGGTAGACCAGCGTTCGCGTCGGCGAGATATAGAATTTTTTATTTTGTATAAAACAATTTCCAAATGCCGCCAAACTTACTTGATCGGCAGGAATTCTGCTACTGCGTAACTTTAAGTGTTTTTGATGAGTGGGGTTGAGTCATATGTACGGTGAAGGAATCCCCCTAGGCCTCCATACATTTCAGTTGGGCACTCTTATCAGATGACGTCATTCGTGTATCTTTACACTAAGGCCGTGTCCGAATAAGTTGGCTGCGGCTTGATATAATTGTGACGCGACAGAGGGCGCCAGTTACTAGGCGCGGTACGAAGTTATAGATGGCGCTCTGCCCAGTAACAGCGGCAGATGTTAGGTGCGCATAGCTGCGTGTTCAGCGAGCGCGGCGCATAGGCTCTGCCTTGTGCGTTGTGCGATAGAGCAGCGGAAGTCACTGCTTGGTCACGTGAGCGCGATTGCGGGCGTGGTCACAGCAGTGCTAAGGCTATAAAAAGCGTGCGCAGACTAGATTGCACTTAGTCGTCCTGATCAAAAGCTGGTTCTGAGGGAAGGGTCGAGAATCTTGTTCAAGGGTTAAAGTCACCTAGCCTAGTGTGACTGTCGTGCTTAAGTCCCGAGTGGTGAGTGTGTCGTTGAGGGGCTCGGTAGGTTGAGGGGCTAATTGGTGGTGCGGTATAGTTCCTGATAGGAGCTTGCGGTCGATACAATGGCGGATTGCTATCTCGTGACGTGTGTTGCGTGTAGCGCAGCCCTGACAATAAGCGCCGCGCCTCGAGGAGGAGGGCGCCCTCGCCTTCGTCGGAGGGGCGCGGCGTCACATTATGCATGATTATATGGGAAATAGGTGTCGATGTTGCCAAATACTCGGTCCCGGGCCCACGTACGTCTGTGAACCAGACAAACGAGGAGGTCTTGCGTCCTGCATAAGTATACAAATTGAAAACGCTTTTGAGCAACAAACCGTGAGGGGCCACTCTATTTCAGTAACGGCGAGTCGGCGAGGCAGTAGCGGTACATACACGTCCAGTGCATGCTGTGGCGATGAACAAGCATCGCGTTATGACAACCATACATGTAATACCTCATGCATCGTTGATCGTCACTTGCCAAGACCAAAGACAGATTAGAGCGAGAGGAGATTTTATTTCTGACCTGAAGTTTTTCCCTAATATGTTAAATGCAGCTTGTTTCTTATAAGCTAAAACAGAAAACAAGGTGCACAGTATATCATTTACCTCATGAGAATTTCATTTTCATTTTGACTTTATGGAGCTGAACTAATTTCATTTATTTGTTTTCATATGATATTTGATGTGCAACGTGTTTGCTAAGCTAAAGCAGAAAACAATGTGCAAAGAATGTCATATACCGCTACTTCATGAGAAATTCATTGAAAACCGGAAACTGTAGCTGAACATTTATTTTTCACATATGATTTTACCATGGTTGTATTTTAACAAGCTCAGTCTTGCTAAGAATAGAAACCTCTTTTTGAGTGAGATGAATGAAACCATTACCTCTCGTCATATTTTGTGGTCTTTTTATTATTTCAAAATTGTTAATTCACACTTCTCTTAGTAACAAGGCCATGTGCTCTAAAGTATATGTGCATGTACGTTATGTACATCACTTCTAAGGGAAAAAAGAGGAAGAAAAAAAAACTGCATCATTGCACCACTTTTGGACGAAGCTCATAATCAGAAACCGGAGTCTTTTTTGGCCTAATAAAATACACGATAATAGATGTAGATTTTATTTGCTCATGAAAGAAAAAATCATACTTTTTTGTTCGACTGCCTGATTCTGCCGCAGTGGTCACCTGTGCACAACCAGGGGGGATTGCCAATGGCGAGGTCGTTGTGAATGATGAATCGCTGGAGTACGGCATATCAGCGGTGTACACGTGCGACCCACTGTACGAGATAAGAGGGTTGGATACACGGTCGTGCAGGGCAGATGGACAGTGGTCTGGTGAATCACCGGTGTGCGTCCCGAGTAAGTAAGCTTGGCAGGCATTTTTGCAGGACCAATCGTCGGCGGAATCGTCCAGTTTAGGGTCGATTGATCCGACAGGGCTAATCCTATGCGATTGGAACAGTTTTCACTGTGTGCTTGCCGGGGACATAAAAGGTATAACTTTCAGGACTCTTCTCAAATTAAATCAAAAGCTAAACTCAACTGAAGTCACGCTTGAAATGAAATTATTATTATCCATGTGTATAAGTTTTACCGCTTCATTTTGGACTATTTAACAGACGATTTAACGGCACTTTAGACTGCGAATCATGAACAGCACACTATGGTAGCATGCGCTGCACCCAGTACCAGTGATTTTTCTCAGTTTACATAGGTAAAGCAGTGTACAAGAAGTGAATTTCTATGATTGCATTAATAAGAATAATTCATGAGGTGACTAATGGAATATTCTGTTAATAGAATGAAAATCCTTTCTGTCATCAACTGAAATTATTCTTTACAGTGAATAAATTTAAAGACCTCGATGATGTTGATGTTGTAATGTTAGGAAGTATGGGTTTCCATTTGTGTTTTTGACAAACTGTGTGCGAGTTTGTATATTTAATGCAGTCTGTGGCGTCAGCAGCATTCGGCCTCGTAAGCCTCCCAATTCCCGGATCGTTGGCGGTCGGGAGGCTCGGACGTGGTCCTGGCCGTGGGCCGCGCATGTCGTCGTCAGGGCGCCAAACTTTGGCATCGAATACCGGCCTTGCGGCGGTTCGCTGATCAGCAGGAACTGGGTGCTGACTGCGGCCCACTGCGTGACTGTCAAGGCAAGACCAGAGATCTTCGGTCAGATCGTGCCGGCTGACACGACGTTGGTTACCCTTGGCGTCCACGACATCACAGATAGTAGTGGAGGAGTGGTGAGNAAGGAACGGCCAATTAACATAACAATACTCTCTGAATCACACAAGCATGTGAACGGGCAGGAACGCATTCCGAAGTGCTCTTTGGAACGGGGGTGAACGGGAAGGTGTGCAGAACGGAAGGGAACGCGTGCGGACGCGTGCAAACGGTCTCTGTATTTTTGATCCCGTCCCTTAGTAAATTTTAATTCTGCTCTCAGGCTAGTGCTCGCGTTAGGCTAACCGCAGAATACACGCAGTCGTCTCAGATGGCGCATAGTTTTGTGTGTGGTGTCATTATTTTGTTGGCTCTCATACAATAATCATAAATACCTCATTACTTGTACTGAAACTGCAGCCGAAGAACAATCAGTAGACATAACAGAAAGGAATTCGGTCACTTGTGCCCTCTCGAGTCTCGCTTCGGCCGGGTAACATTTCTTGCCTGCTTGTTTTCGTTTTGCTGTGCTTTTAAAATTCAATCATAGGAATGCTGAATCACTTGCAGGCTACTTGACCTGACTGTTTCAGTCTTTGTGTACTTGCCAGAGAGAGGTATCAGAAATCGTCAGGGCACCCTCCTACGATGCTAGAAGTTTTGACGCCGATGTCGCCTTACTCCGTCTCGCGGAACCGGTGACGCTGACGGACCGTATTCGGCCCATCTGTGTCCCAACTGCGGACACCTTTGTCGCCGACAGTGATTATTCCCTTTACGAAGTGGAAGAAATCCCTGACTTGGAAGGCGTAGCCATTGGATGGGGTGAGACTCATCTCTTTTTCAAGAATGTATGCGCCTGCGCAATTTGGAGGCGTGAGTTGGCGCATGTGTAACCCGACCGTAGCCATTACATTTAGTCCCAGCCCACAGCCTATGTTTGCCTCCTTGGATAAAATGCTGAATGATATGAAGTCAACCATGGAAAACGTAATACCACTTTGCAGAAATATCTACGCATCTGAAGTACATGACAATAGGAGACTGTATTAGCTTTTTGATCAAGTACAGGGATGGACTTCGACATCAGACCAGACCAGACAGCAAAAGAAATTGCTCTGACTGAACATAAAAGGGCTTGTGTTATCTCGTCATTGCTAATTAAATCTAAATATATCAAAAAATTCTAAGGTTATTAATGCTTGCATTAGAATTTTTTTTGGAATAGAAGAAAGATGAATCTTTCAAATAGAAGAAAAGGAATTACACCTTTACACAATTTTGGTCGACATGAAAAGAATTTAATTATTCAAGCCTATCCGGTCGATCTACTTTTTCAGATTGAGCAGAATGGAATCAAATTGAAGTAAACACGAGTCGAATAGGATTATACTGTAGTAAGTCATGGAAATCTGTTTCAGTTGACGTAAGACTGCTTGCCTAACACACCTAAGGCTAATTCTACAATTCCTCACGTGAATTAGTTTTAGAACCGTTTCGTGAGGTAGATTTGTTGATATGGAGTGTTTGTAGAGCATACAGCGTGTTCTACATGTGCAGGTTGCAACTTGCAAGTGCACAGGCGTAACAGCGACATTGTATGATTTCTCTTATTTTGGTTATTCTTTTGTAGGTCAAACTGGACGAGACCAGCCCTGGTCCAACGTTCTAATGGAAGTCTACCTTCCTATCATTAGTCGCTCCCAGTGTGAGGATGCCATATTGAGCGGGCTCACTGACAACATGGTGTGTGCAGGATCTTCGGCCGGTAAGTGTATCGCCAAATCCCGGGGCAGTTTTTCCCTGGGCGATTGAAACAGATTAGTTTTGTTCCCTATTCCCCATCGCCCTTACATGGCACTGTGGAAGGCTTGTCCTGGGCCAAATTTGATGGCACTGCTTACCGCAGAATTCCGCGCTTACGATCTGCGCTTATGATTCTGCGCTAACCGCGCAAGCAGAAAAATTCTGCGCTTACCCTTCAATGCACAGAATCCTTATTTACGGGATGTATGCATGCGCACAAGCCAAAATTCATCGCTAATCCGTGAAATACGTTCGCGGTAAGCACACAATTTTCTGCTACGGGAAGCGCTGATTTTTCGCTTGCGGTGAGCAGCGCTGTGAAATTAGGCCCTGTTCACATGGATCTGTTGTCCAAAGCTAGGTCTAGGTATTTACTCTGTTGGAAATGTGCGGAGACGCGCTGACAAGAGCCTTAGCTGCAGCTCTGGAAGCCTGTTTAAGACAAAGCCGACGGCCTGCATGCACAGCAAAAGTCTAGGGTCGCTCACTGCCATAGCAAATGCATGGATATTCTGCGTCCACGTCTAACCCGAACCTGATCGAACGTTTTTACCCGTGTTGTTGTTCATCCAAACACGGCGATACTACAGTGCGCCACCAAGCAGCCCCCCACAGAAAGGCCATTTTCGGAGTGCATGGCGGGAAAATGGTCGACACATTTCATGCACCGCCTCCGGCTATATATTGTGAGAATCACAATATATTGTTTAATACATGTACATACACGCAGTCTGTCAACACTATCAAAGTTATGCACATTGCCAAATCCCGACGCTACAACTTTGACCCCTGGATGTAAACTTCGTCGCCATCAGAAAATCTTTAAGGGTGCATTCCACCAAATCGTTAGATTTCTGCTCGAGACCTCATTAATACTATTGATCCCACAGGGTTTTTCACAATAAGACATGCCATATTCAGGAGGGATCGTAGAGATGTTTCTATAAATCTGGTAGTACTGGCACTGGTTGTTTCCAATTCAGGGTATTTCTTTCACAAAAAGCTTTAACCTGTGGCCCTATTACAGATAGAGGTGGGCGCTACATTCAGAGCGGAGCGCATAGTTTTACTATTTTCGGGGATATCTTCCGGGAAGGGCGAATAAAAAAACCCTGCCGTCATTTACTCTTAATTTCTGGTTATGTTATGTTATCGAACATAGTTTCATTACCAGTCTTAAGAGCAGACTAATCCTTAAACCCATGTGGAAGCTTCCCCTGTTAAAATGTCGGACTCCCCTTTGAAAAGATTCATGAAGTTCGAGCAACCATTTTTATTCAAGTCGAGTTTCCTTAGCTTGTTGGGTAAAACCTTGCCACTCCTTTGCAACCCTATTCTGTCCAATAAGGGTTCGAAGGAATTACGTCAGGTATTACGAAGCAGTAAGACCGTACCAACGCCCAGTCATAGTTTACGGGTGAGTCCATTTGCAGAAGCCCTTTCTGTATCACACAAATTGGACATTGTTTTTATCTCTTGTCTTTTATGTTATGTCTATCTAGGAGGCCGAGACACGTGTTTTGGTGACAGCGGTGGCCCCTTGATGCTGAAGGAGGCAACCACTGGGAGATACTTTGCCTTTGGCCTGGTTTCGTGGGGAGAGGGCAACCAGTGTGCTCAGGCTGGGCAGTACGGGGTGTACGCCAAGGTTGGTAACTTTGAAAACTGGATTCGGGAGACTGCCCAAATTTGAAGGCAGATAAGAAAGTGCTTCTATACGCTTCGAGTAAATGTTCTATTGCTTTTCCTTTATTTACCCGATAAATGCTGAATATTAGCGTTATTGTACCCTTGCATCCATACAAGCAGACTTATGAGTGGAGTAATGCAAAGTGTTGTTTCCCAAATCCCAATAACGCAGTCACAAATGCCAATGTAAATTCATAGTTTAAGGTTTCAAAAACAGAGTGCAAAGTGTCCGTGTTGAATGGGCGTTCTCTGTTGCAGAAAACAATAGTAATGCTATTCTGGAAGTGTAGGCTAGAAGCAAGTTTTAAAACACAATTCCCATGGTTCAAAAATTAAACAAATTGCATGCTTATGAATGTAGGCTTCATTACCAGGTGTAATTATTAGGTGTAGTATTTGACTAACTTTTGCCACATGCTATTTCATAGAGGTTAAAACGAAATTGAGTACCAGGATCAACTTTGAATTATTTGGGAATGGAATATACATATACAGCAAACAAAGAGGAGATTAGAAGGGGCACCAGAAGGCTGAATTTTTAGTTTGAAAAATCTTCTTCAATTCCAAGCTGCTTTTTTCCCGTAAATTAGTTGCTCCTGTTAAATAGCAAACAAGAATAATTGCCAAACAGGCCAATGAAGCAAGAATAAACCGACTACAAAAACAGTTTCCAGGATACATAAATTAATTTCGTCAGTGTAGCTTTCCCTCGTTCTACGGGTGTTCATTAAGTAGTATTGCTGCTGTTTGTTTGTTTCAAAGACTGTTTTTCCTGTGCATTTGAATGCATATTCTCGCAGATATCTGTGGTTGCCGTAAAGGGGCTTGCACCGCTGGGATTTTTTTAGAGCGTTTAACTGTTACAGTGCACATGGGTCATTTCTGTTTTGACCTCGCTATGCATAATGTCATGGAATAAAGTCACAACAGTACATGTGCCAATGGGGTCCTCATACGCATTCGCCATACTGCTCAGAGAAAGTATTCATTGGCCACGTGGCATAACTGAGCATGGTGAATACACAAGAAACAAAAGCCTGAAACCGTCGTTGAAGGTAGTTTAGCAGGAATTTGTATTGGTCATAAAGATATAATTTCAATACTTGGCGTTGATCTTGGTACGGCAAAACAGATTATAATTCAAGCTGACTTGTCGAGACATTTTCTGCAATCTCACGGCGGATTCGTTCCCCTTGCTGGGCCTTAACGCTCTATCTCGATGATCGATAGGATCCAATCCACGAAGTTCTCTATCCGTGTGTAGACACCGTACTTTCCTACGGCCCCGCAACCTTCGCCCCAGGACACGATGCCGTACGGGAAGTACCGGCCGGTGGTAGCTTCTTGCAACATCAGCGGCCCGCCACTGTCTCCTCCACATGAGTCCTGCCCACCTGTGTGTTAAAAAAGCAAACGCCCGTATAAAATAATTACATCCCAACCTGGTAGAAAGCGGAGGGAGTCAAGTTGGCGTAATGGTTCTTTCCTCGCCTTCCACCTCTGTGGTCCCAGGTTCGATTCCTGATTTTTTTTTTAGTGGATTGAGTTTTCAGTCCCTACCTGCAGGATCCCGTAGGTTTTACCCAGAAACCAGGGCGAGGAGGTTGCCCTGCTCTGGGCAGATAGAAAAGCGTATATCTAAACAAGAGCGCATAAACGTCCTTTTTAATAGATTTTTTCACATAATTTAACAGAATAGACTGCATAGTTTCTTTGAAGAACAAGAGCGGCTAATGTGTATCCGCCTTCAGAAGAAGTACCCCCCCATTGGTGGAAAAGAGCCATGTTGGTTGGTAGACTTTATTTTGCTCGTAACGATGGGGCCAAAACGCGTGCATAACATAGTTGTCTGTGAACCAACAAAGAGCAGTTCTGACCAAAGGTGCGGTCGTGGCTAGGAAAATTGCCTCCTCCCTTGGTCCAGCTCGGGGCTCACGACACTATGATCTCCCATTGTGATTCTGATTTATTTCAGCGTAGTCCTAGTCTTTGACAACCAGTGGGGGCAAATATGGCTTCCCTTCAGTGAAAATCAAAAGACTAACTTTCTGTTAACCAACGAACTACCAAACGCTACTTCTGCAGTGGAAATACATGTATCTCCCACGTCAATGCTGTTGGGGCATATGTACATTATATGTACATTATGGGATAAACCGTAATACAAATAAAGGATGGGTTTTATGCAAAAGTTTCGACTGCTCATAGAAAAGGTACGTCGTGAGAAGGTCTATTTATGCACCATATTCCGCTTCAAACGTGCACAGTTGGATTGACTGTCTGCTAAAAATGGTTATGCCCATATTCTAATTAAAGTGCCCCAGGCCTGTTTAGAATACACGATGGAAAAGTCGTATATTGATAACGAGTGCGAATGGTGAGAACACTTTCCATTGTACGTTGTCAGTTTCCCCCAGTTGGACCTGCTGAGCCCGATATAACTGTAGAATTTACACGCAGCCTTCATTGTCGCGCTTTTTATTTTGCGTCACTTTTTTTTCGTCGCATAATATGGGCGATTCACAATAGTGCGCCTCCAAGAGTTTGCAACGAGTTGGCCAATCACAACGCGACCCTTCCGTGACGCGCGTTGGATCCACAGATTTTGTGCGTTGTGATTGGCCAACGCGTTCCAAACTCTTGGAGGCGCACTTTTGTGAATCGCCTGTATTATTTCTTACCTTCGCGTGATCCAGCACACACCATGTTACGTGTAACTTGCTTGTAATCCATTGCTTCGTTGCATTCGTCCCTGGACACCTCAATCCCAACGTACACTTCGCGCAGCACGTCTGAAGTCGACCCGCCACGGCTCTGCTTGCCCCAACCGATGACGACGCCTTCGTCCACCCCCTCGGCTACGTTCCTGATGCGCACCCTAGAATCGTCGTCGCGGCCCGGTCGTTTGTTCTGCTCGGGGAGACAGATCGGGCGGATGTAGTTGGATAACTGGACTGACATATTAAGATGCAGCAATGCCAGGTCCGAGTCCCAGGTAGAGGGGTCGTAGTCAGGATGTTTGAAGATTTCAAGCACAGTGGTCTGCAATGAACCAAAATATACAGCAGTGAGATAACAGTGCGTTGAGTTCTGGTGTAGAGTACTGGAATACTGCCAAGCTGTAATCGAACATACCCGATCATCTCCACAAGACAAGTAAAGGATTAAAAATGCAACTTTTACTTAGTCTAGGTATCGATATGAACTCGTTGATGACCTTTTATGACATAACGTCAACAACAGTTAGACAACAGTCGCTTGCAATTCTCTACAATTGATTATTACTTGCACATACATGCACATAGTACTTACGTATACAGTGTCCTGTGTGTTTTGCCAACGGTCGTGGATACCCAAGTATATCTCCAAGGCGTCTGTCGGCACGCGCTGCCCGAAAAAGCGCGGCCGGTCCTCGTTTCCTCCAGTCACGCAGTGGGCAGCCGTAAGCACCCATTCCTCGTTGAGCAGTGAACCGCCGCAGAAGGACTGCTCGCCCAGGATGTCGTGACTCGGAGCGTACACCTTGACAAGTACCTGCCAAGGCCACGAGCCTCTCACAGCCTCTCTCCCTCCCACAATGCGCTGCTCCGATCTGCGGTCTCTGGGCGCGTAGGTGCTCTCACCGCAAACTGTAAAAGGCATAATAATCATAATGCGATAGTGGTGTATGGCATCATCAGAAACCAACTATTGAAACTGAACAAAACTAGACTATAACAATCGACATCCTACCTAAAAAAGAACTTGTTTTTGAAGTACATCCTCGTTGAGGATTAACTTTGCAGACTTGTTACTCAGGTCGAGCCCCATCACAGATATCCGGCACGATACGTGGGAAAGGGGGACCCCCCCTAATGTGATGCACAAGCTGTATACCCATTGGCTATTGTGCATACTGCACCCCCTCGGAAATCTGGAAGGAATTCCAAATATTCCATAAAAACAAAGGAAGACACAATAGATGAGGTCCCCCTTTGCCACATATTTTGTATCATATGGCATCATTATGAAGCGAGATAAGAGAAGGAGAGAACCCTCCCCCTGCTTTGTGTTGGTTATTGTTTCACTGGAATCTGAGGAATTCTTTTCAGACACTTGGGGGGATTCATTTGAAGCAAGATATGGGACGGAGAGAACCCCCCCATCTTTGTGTTGGTCATTGCTTGATCGGAATCTCAGGAATTCTTTACAGAATTCTGAGGGGGAAGTGTTAGGTGACAGTTGTCTAGATTGTGTACAGGGATTGGACAGATAAGGGGGTACCCCTCCGTCCCATATCTTGCCTGGTACAGGAAGATGTGTTAGATAACAATAGTCTGGACACTACGGACATCTAACAAAAGACGCATGGTGCAATAACAATGGACGTTTATTGTTAGTGCCCTGTGTTTCTTTTGTTAGATGTTCGTAGTGAGAGTGTGTACAGCGATTGGGCATGTTGGGGGGGGGATGCTCCTCGGTCTCTTGCTGGATATAAGCCGTATTGGTCATTTACATTCAGAATTTTTATATGGTGTCAATTCATACAGGAGACGGTATTTAGACTTCTTAGAATACTTACTCTTCCCAATTTCTTTAAGGAGAAAACTTAAATACCTGGAATGCAAACCGGTTTGGTGAAGGACCAAGTGGCGTTGGCCTGGCATTCTCTGAAGCTCATGCCTTTCAGCTCATAGAAGCGGTCGCATTCGTAGCCAATGGAGTTAGTATAGCTGTAGTTGCTTCCAGAGTAAAACAGGATTCTGCCGTTGCCGAGTGGGGACGGGCTGTCACATGTCACGACTGGTGAAAAAATTATAAGGGTTTGGCGTGCGTTCTGTCGTGACATGATACAATCGTGACTGATTAATCACTGAAATGAAAGACTTTCTTTTATTTAGGAACCTACCTCTAATGCTTATTACAAATAATCTGGTAATCAAACTTTGAAATCATGCTACGATTATTTCCAAGCTGGCTCAAAGGTTGTACGTGCCCAGTAAATGCCTCTTTGACCAATTCACTGCGGGCGGGACCCAGAGAGGGTGAAATTGTCCGAGCTACGGAGCCCCCCCCCCGGGGGGGGGGGGACTGCGCTTCACTGGTTCACATCGAAATGCATGCACTACGGTCGCGTCGCTACCAACTATATGAACACTTTCCTCAAGCAAGGCTCTTTTCAACCGATGAGGGGGGTGATTCTGCTCAAGTCGATAGAGGGTGCAGTTCCATGATAGATAATAAAAAAGACTAAATTGGCAGCGCGTTCGCTCACATGGTCTTGCTTTGTGGATCACTCACTGGAGGGATATACTATATAGATAAAACACGCCAATTGTGATGAACGCATTTGACGCAACTGAGACAGAAAGCAGCATTAGGCCTAGTACTCATAAATTTGTGCGCGGCGCGTTCTCAACGCGGCTCATTTAAACAACCTGCACTCCATGGGCTGCGTGCGTAGTCCTTCACTAGATGGCACAAGGAATGGTGGGAACCGCCATGGCGTGGCAAGATTGTTCCCATAGGAACTAGGCTGTATTTAAATAGCTTTGTGAGTGTTGAGCAATGTCATATATTTTGTTTGCGCCCAAAAGCTCTTTTGTCCCCGGTAAGCACGCACGAAGACTTCAAACCTGCGTGCCGATCTTTTTTTGTTAGCGAGAGCTGCAACAGTGCCCTCTACTGCCGCATTGCCTCGACATTTTTGCGGGCAGCTCGATCGTTTACTCAGGGTGACAGATCCCCGACAAGATCAATGCTGAACAATGATAGCACACTGTGGATACGAAGTTATTTACTGTCAGCTTATAATCACAATAAAGCTGGTCTGGTACTTTCCACGACTATAAGACGTGTGTCTGCAGTTGTCTATAGAATCCAATCCTGGAAGAGGAAAAAACCGCGTCGCCACATCAATTTCGAAACATCAGTCTGACCAGAGACAAACTCTTTTTTGGGGGGGGGCCCTTATGTTAATTCATTACGCATCCTTGCGGGACCACAAAATGTGAATTGGCGCATATGTACGACCTGCCATTGCCGTGCTTTCGTATTCCATATCTATGTTGTTACTTTCCAAAACGTGCGGACACATACAGTTGAAGAATTTGCTGGTCATTGTGGCGCCATCGCAGGGCAGGCCTCTCTTCGGGTTAGTCTACAGCTACAACTGTGTAACTCACTCTGGCAGAAAGGCTGGGTGCCAGACCAGGTGCCGTCGCCTTGGCAAGTTCTCGAAGATGATCCTTGCAGAAAGTAGCCTCCCTTACAACTGAAGGATACTGAGTGCTTAAAGGTGAAATTACTACCGACCATTGAGCCATATGTCGGGGCAGTGAGTGGAGGGCAGGGCCGGGCTATATCAAGTGATAAAACGAAAACACCAGGAAAAGAAACGTTTATATTATAAGCAGTTGGTATTTTGCCGTCGCCAGCAAAGTTCCAAAACGATATTCTGCCGGGAGTATTATTTGTATTGGTTCGTATTTATGACGTCACTGTTGCTGGCAATACCTGTCGATAGCTATTTGTCGGGTGAGGTATAAATGCCGAGACTTGTGGAGCTTTCCGTCCGAAAATACAGTCACTGACACTGGTACCCGGCTCACAGTATATTCCCACGTGATGAACTTGATCGTAGAGTCCCCTGACGTGCCGTCCCAGGATGCCAACATTTTTTGTGTCGCAAAACTTCAAATTCCCTGACATGGCTCCAAATTTCAGAAATCTCACATTTTTAGGAGTTTTAGAAAATCGATAATATTGTATAAAAATCGTAGCCGTCATTCACATACCCATATTTAAGTTAAAGGAAATTATTCTGTATAAGGGGTGCATTTTAAAACAATTCACTTTTCACCAGCAGAATATAGTTTTGGGGCAAAATATCCACTGTCCCTTGTGTAACCTGTTACAAATCAAGAAAAAATGCATTGCAAGAGGAGAACATAAATTGTTCATTTGGACATTTTACAAAAGATGTCGCTCTAGCAAAGAGGCCGCAAGCAGTCGCTTTTGTGTAAGGCCTTTTTAACGGGTACGAGCTATTTACAGAAATGCTACTCGACCGAAACATCTAGATTTGACTGACTTAAGTAGTGAGAACACAAACATTTCTGAAACATATTGTGACAGTGCGCACCAGTGACGTAGTATCTCGCGTGGAAACCTGTCCTTTGCTCCGAGTAATCTGAGTGAAATGTCACATTGACCCGATGACCTGTGGTCACTATGTTGGGCGGCCGATCAGCTTCCGTCTCTCCGCAGAATGGGCCAAGGTCATAGCCATCATAGTGAACCTAGTGAGGAATAAATTCTCTGCATTAAAATACAGAGAACGCGCCTGCTAAGTCACCTGAGCTATAATACCGGACATCAACAAACATGGCGTCTTCCAATAGCTAAGTGTGTCGTACTAAGTGTTGCTTACCAAATATAAAACTGGTTTTCAGAAAGCCTGTTTCACTCAGCACATCAGTTGTCAGAGTACTGAACCGACTGTTGGCTTTAGTTTTGGAAATGACACTCATGGCACACATTGCCATGGGAGGGCGTCATGTGTTTGTCGATACTTGATACCCACTTGTAGATCTCGTGACATAGCGGGCGTAATGGGTCTGTTGAAACTCATCTTTTTCAAAAGGATGGCACGAAGAACCACCTTGCAAGATTTTTACTCCAGTAACTTCGTTGGCCACGGCTCTCCGTGTGAAATAAAAGTGCAAAAAGTGTAGCTTGTGCAAACACAGCACACATGCTGTTCTATTTGTCTTATATACTGAAATCATACAAATTATCACTGGCTGACAGCACAAGTTTGAATGAATAAAAATGCCTGCAATCGTAATGTTAGCTTGTTTACCTTGACATAATCGTATGGACATTGTGCTTGCGGGTGCGATTCCACAGCGAAAGCTTGGAAGACGAGGTTGATGACGAACCCAATCTCCACGTGAACCACCCAACTACAGTCAGCATTTTTCGGATACTCCAGTGGGTAGTCTGGTGTCTGGAATTCGTCCGATTCGTGAGTGTAGAGAAGATCTCTGCAAGACACTGAACCAAAAGAGTGACCGAGGCTATGATATGGCGATCACGTATCGCATAGACATTGAAGAATTTTTTTTACCAGTCTTTGATACTTTCGTTTTTCAACACACATAAGCAGCCACACAAAATGTCTGAAGACCACAGTCGTCTGGAAACAACGCTACTTAATATATCAAAAACCTTACCAGATCAAATCATACTAATGAAAACATTGAAAAGGTAAAAATTATTCAACGCTCTGAGGGCAGCAGAAAGACCAGTTTGTCAATCCAACTTTTGATTTTTGTTCTATAGTTTTTTTTCAAAATCACATTCGAATTCGATGCAGGAGGGAAAGGGAAGTCTGATCAGGTTTCGTTGAAATACCTCTGCATTGGCGACCGTCTGGCTGGAGTTCGTAGTGCATGCGACAGGAACAGTAATAACCAGACACGAAGTTATGGCATAGCTGTTCACAACCACCATTATCCACTGCACACTCATCAATATCTGAGCACAGAGTTGGAGACAACCATACACCAGTAACAGCCCCAACCTTGACATAATACTAATCATTTGACCATTACCATTCTTGTATAATTTGGAAGAAATTCTCACGAAAAACAGACCTCCTCCTTTTGACGCACTTTGGGATGATATAGGGCCTACGTGTTTCAGTGAATGAAACACAACGTTTTCGATGGGGGGATTTCATTGTGGTTTAACTAAGCACCGAGTGACAGCTCTTTAGCAAATTCCACATGACTGTGTTGATGCCACATGTGAAGAGTTCTGTAAANAAGATTTAGCTTCTAGGCTGGTACCTTCTGCCCGATAGTGCGCCAGGAATCCCTGAAACGGCTCGTCGTTCGAGAAGTCTGAGTGGAACTTGACTAGCATGTTGTTATTGGATGTCGTCAGGTGTACTTCACGGGGGGTCCTGTCTTCCATGACCATCTCGTTTCCGCAGTATGTGGCCAGCTCAATACCTTTACTCAGCACCTAAAAAGAGAAACACGGTGTCTTTTACAGGTGTTTCTTTGTTACCGTTAACTATTACTGTACTATTTGGGTGAGATGCGTGCAACACAAATTGTGGCTTATAGGCCCAGGAAAAGGTAATCTTTTTCTGTTCTCCAGGACCCCCCCCCCGGAATTCCCCAACGTTTCCATTTCTAAGCATTCTTTGCGTGCGCTGTACGCTAGTGTCTAAAGAATTGCGATCGGTCGAGGAAAGGTGGCACATTAATACACTCATTTGCCTTCTGCGAGGGGAGCGGCTTTTAATTAGATCGGTGGGCGCGGCGCTGTCAGCTGGCCGCCTAATACAACCTTATATTTCGGTGAATATTGACTCTCATATGCAGCAAGGTATGAGACAGAGAGAACCCCCCTGCTTTGTGTTGGTCATTGTCTCGCAGGAATCTGGGGAATTCCTTTCAGACATCTTGGGGGATGTGTTAAGTAACAATTGTCTGGAATGTGTACAGGGAATGGACATGTTGGGGGGGTTCCCCTCGGTCTCATTTCTTGCTGGGTATATTGACTCTGCACGTCTGTTCTTTCATCACACATCAATCTGGGGGGCATGGTTAATATAACCCCCAGCGAATAGGAACCCACCACCTAAGCCCGAGATTACATTCATGGTGGAAGCTTCCTTGTGGTCTTAAATAAGCAACGAATAGTATCTAAGTCGACTGTTGTAGTCCTTTGTTAGGAAAGATACTAACTCTCCGTTACCTTTTTTAAAGACGGAGTTTCATTTGCGAATGAAATGGGTCGGTTTTTCCTACGGAAAATTATTAAAATTCCTGCTAAACTTGACAAGCTGGTTGATAGATCATGAGCATTTTCCAGCTCTGGTGTATATTCTGGGTGTCANTGCTGCATATGCAATATTTAGCTTCTAGGCTGGTACCTTCTGCCCGATAGTGCGCCAGGAATCCCTGAAACGGCTCGTCGTTCGAGAAGTCTGAGTGGAACTTGACTAGCATGTTGTTATTGGATGTCGTCAGGTGTACTTCACGGGGGGTCCTGTCTTCCATGACCATCTCGTTTCCGCAGTATGTGGCCAGCTCAATACCTTTACTCAGTACCTAAAAAGAGAAACACGGTGTCTTTTACAGGTGTTTCTTTGTTACCGTTAACCATTACTTTACTATTTGAGTGAGATGCATGCAACACAAATTGTGGCTTATAGGCCCAGGAAAATGTAATGATATGGTCGGTCGTTTTTTTCTGTTCTTCTGAAACCCCCTGGAATTCCCCAACGTTTCCATTTCTAAAGCATTCTTTGCGTGTGCTGTACGCTAGTGTCTAAGGAATTGCGATCGGTCCAGGAAAGGTGACACAATAAAACACTATTTGCCTTCTGCGAGGGGAGCGGCTTTTAATTAGATCGGTGGGTGCGGTGCTGTCAGCTGGCCGACTAATACAACCTTATATTTCGGTGAATATTGACTCTGTGTACGTCTATGTGCACGTCTGTTCTTTCATCACAGATCAATCTGGGGGCATGACTAATATAACCCCCAGCGTATAGGAACCCACCACCTAAGCCCGAGATTACATTTATGGTGGAAGCTTCCTTTTGGTCTTAAATAAGCAACGAATAGTATCAAAGTCGACTGTAGTAGTCCTTTGTTAGGAAAGATACTTACTCTCCGTTACCTTTTTTAAAGACGGAGTTTCATTTGCGAATGAAATGGGTCGGTTTTTCACACGGAAAATTAATACAATTCCTGCTAAACTTGACAAGCTGGTTGATAGATCATGAGTATTTTCCAGCTCTGGTGTATATTCTGGGTGTCGTATGGATGGTTTTTCACCGCTTTCTGAATTAGATGTGAGAAACCCTATTAAGAATTCTGCCTTTGCTCTCTTAACCCTATGGCAACTGCTGTAGTGGTTGATCGTATTGAACAGATCTTTTACGTGCAGTTATAACTAGAATCATCAATAGTTCACTTACTTCTGGCACTTTTCCTACTGAGTGGAAGCAGCCCTTAGTTACACCTATTTTGAAAAAGCATAATCTTGAGCCGGTGTTGGAAAACTACCGGCCAGTTAGCAATCTTTCATTTGTGTCAAAATTGAATGAGAGGGCTGTTTTTAACCAAGTGCATGATTATTTCACTGTTAATAAACTGTATCCGCCACTTCAGTCTACCTATCGCAAATCACAATACTGAAACGGCTCTCATCAAGTTTTACAATGACATCCTTATGAAAATGAACAGTCAGCATGTTGTTCTACTTACTTTACTTGACTTAAGTGCTGAGTTTGATACCTTTGATCATACTATTTCATTAAGTCGTCTCAGGTCCAAATTTGGCATATGTGGTCTTGCACTGGATTGTTTCTCATCTAACCGGCAGCAGTCAACGTGTACTGATACAGGGATCCAGGTCTGAGAAGTTTGATTTCACCTGTGGTGTTCCACAAGGTTCCTGTCTTGGACCCTTTTAGTTTATCATGTACTCCTCAGGGTTATTTGATATCCTTGACACTCATTTATCTGATGTGCATTGCTATGCAGATGATGCACAATTGCATATCTTTTAAAACTGGATTACTTAGCTGATCAACAGGTTGCCATCTCAGCAATGGACAGTTGCCTCCGAGATATTACAGAGTGCTGCAGAACAGACTAATGTTGAATGACAGTAAGACTGAGTATAAGGTTCCTTATATCACAGTTGCCGGCACAAATATCATGCCAGTGACTACTGTGAGGAATCTTGGCTTCTTGTTTGACCCCAATTTGTCTGTGGGTTCCCACATTACGAAAGTCTGTTCCACCAGCTTTTATCATCTCCAAACATAAAACGCATCAGCAAATTGTTATCTCGTACTTCTCTTATTATTTTAATTCATGCCTTCATCGCTAGCCAGCTGGATTATTGTAATAGCCTGTTTTATGGTTTGCCACATGTTCAACCTGCCAAATTACAAAGAGTTCAAAATGCTGCGGTAAGACTGGTTGCAAATGTAAATAGACGTTGTCACATTACCCCTATTCTTAATTTAAGAATTGCACTGGTTGCCGGTCAAATTTCCTGTCATGTTTAAAATGTTACTGCTCGTTTTTAAATGTATTCACTCCTCAGCACCCGATTATCTGTGTGACTTTTTACTGTTAGAAACCAACATTGTTATAGTTTGAGGTCAATAGGTGAAATATTACTTGAGTATCCTACGGGTAGAATGCTACATTCTTTTGGTGATTATGCTTTTGCTTCAGCTGCCCCAAAGATTTGGAATGATGCGATGTTCCGACTGCCCTCTTCGCATTTCTTCTCGGCAGATTTTGTGGACATATTTCTCATTTTGTGTTTCTTATCAAGGGCATTGGTCGTAAGGAGGGGGTGTTTAATGTTACAGGTACCCACACGGGAATGAACAAAAATATTGTTGGAATGAAAAATTCATTATTGGAAATAGGATAGATGTGATTATATGCGTGTCTATATAAGAAAACCTCCAGTAAAACTTGAAATGAACTGCTTCGCCCTTGTCAAGCAAACGTTCTTTTCTAGTTAAAATGGACATCATTACAATTGTTGTGGGCTTTTCCATTAGTGTCTTATAATTTCCACAGGTTTTAACCGCAACGACAACCTTTCATAAGAGGAAAAGCCGCGTAACCAGTGTAATTTTATTCATAGTGCCAAATGAAGCATCTACCGTAAAACTTAACCAAACACACAACTTAATGCCATATCTCCACTCCAATCACACTTGGTCTACTATCTGCATCTTTTGAGTAGCTGCCGATTCCTCGGTCATACCTTGACGTAGTCATACTCGCAGTTGTTGGATGCCTCCAACTCGAAGAGGCTAAAGTACAAGTTTACGATGTAGCCTGGAGGCACAGTGATATTCCAGGCCACATCCTCGTTGTTGCCATAGGGTTCAGGAAAGTTGCGGGGCGCCAACTGGCCGGAGAGGGCGCTCAGCTGAGTGGCTTCGCCGGAAATTTTGGCGGAANCAATAGCACAGCAACAGGATGCTGCCTGCAGGTAAAAAGATAAAATGAAAAGTGGTATCAAACACCGAATTTAAATTTTTACGAATAATTTGCACTGTACTAAATAGAGCTTGTGCATGGCGGCCATCTCTTCGATATTAAGTGTTTCTGTCTATAGGGATTAAGTAGACCTGTTTGTCCTATCCGTTTGTAACGAAAGCGGTTACCGGAAACATGACTGCCGTAAACACCCTCTATACTATAGCATGTTCATGTATGTATAGGCATGAGATGACATGACCAACAAGACAACGATAGCCTGTTCGGTATTCCATCAGCGCATGCCCCAAATGAAGAGCGTCCGAGGTCCTCCGCGGTCTGGCATAGCTAAGCCTTGAGGGAACGAAGCTCGCCTTTTTTGAAATGCCAAATTGCCTCTTGGCACCTCCTCAGGCAAAACTCTGCCTGGAAACTGCAGTGATAAAAGCCAGCGAGTCCAGAAACATTGTTTGCTACCGAAAATTACATCACTGACATGCTATCACAATCAGACTTCATTTTGCGTTCTATCAAAGTGGCTGTAACATGGTGGAATTATCGTGATCTGGATCACGATGTTTTTTCTTTGAAGTCTTTGTATCATCAAGAGTGTTTTGCCTCAGTGCCTTGCGTTACCTACGAGGAGGAAAAACCTCATCCGTGGCTTGATAAGACAAACGATCATATGTGACCCGCTCTGTGAAAAGGAGTCACAAGTCTCGGGAGAAGTTTTGGAATAAGAAGTTCTTTAGAATAATTTTGCACAGTGTAAGCCAATAGGAACACAGCATTTTTCACCATGGATTATCCACTTTCATCAGCATGCCAAACTGAGCAATACATCAAAACAAAAGTCTCAATTTGCTCTTTCAAATACAAATGGAAACTCAAAAAGTGGCTCTGGCGACTTATGTCTCATTTTCACAGAGCGGGTAACATATTTGCCTGACCTTCTACTATTTAATGTTCATATAAGTGGCTCATGTACTTAGGCCTACATGACGTGTGATAAATGCTTCTTTTTATCGAAAGTCGTGTATTGATTTTGCTTTTAATAAACAATCAAATGGTTCTGATTCTTTTATATATCTCTGCATATTTTAAGTATGTGCATTCGAATACTTGATATTCATATTGTTCCAAATATACTCACCAAGGTTGCCTTGCCGCCATGGCTGATGTTTTGCAATGGCAGTGCTGAGCCAGCCAGGATATGAAAGGAACAATCAACCCACGATGGGGCCAATGTTCGCCCATTGTTAACGTGTTGTTTATTGACAGTTTGATGATTTCCTCGATAATGAGAGATACCTGTGGATAATAAGCCCCTTTGCGCGGGACCAGGTCGTTTTTTTAAATGAGCCGAGGCGGGTCGACGGGAATTGAGCCGATCAGGTGAGATGCCTGTTCTGTCGATAAACTGCGGTCGTGACTAACACCGCTTCAAAGGTTAAATGCGGGTTTTGATTGAAAAGGGGTTTATTGTTGACATAAATAAAAACGTTCTAATTGTTGGCATCAATTTAAAATGTTATGTCCTTTTGTACCCTGCGTCTAATCAGTTTTATTGAGGGTGAAAAGGGTATTAGAATCACTGGCGGCGGAAGCGGGGGGGATTCCCCTATATGTTCGATTGGGGGCTTGCCCTCTACACTTTTTGCAGGTCCTGAAATGGGGTGGGGCATAATTGATCGGCCTATTAATAAATTATGATGCTTGATGGTTTAAAAACTCCCCCCCCTCACTCTGAAAATCGTTCCGCAGGCAGTTGTCAGAAAAGTTTCTTCAGAAAGCCAATTGTATCAAAATTCGGTTGTATGTGATGCTTTGGTTTTGGCTTTGGCCTGTGAATTTGTTGGGGAATAATAATTCCACTAGTCCTGTTGAGACTTTGGTACATGGAACAGGTGCTGCTTGCAATTTGATAATTTGCAATCAATCTTATCCACAGAAAAGTTGAAAACACCAACTGTGTAGAGAGCTTTCGTGCATCACACGTGGCTACTGTTATCATATGCCAGCCAGTCCCGTCTTTCAGTCCAGGAAGGTTGGAATATGGCTGGATGTTTCTTTGTCGCCCATCTTTGTCAAAGATTCTTTTCCTTCTTGGTGGGTTATTGACACCTTTCAGAAATAGAGGCTTTGCCATCTTGCAGGGCAGCTTTTTTGTTACAGAGGGAAAATTCCTTTTACAAATGTACTATCCGCAGTGGAAAATTGGTACTGGCCTCCAAGATAGCAGCCATGCAAACCCTTTGTGCACTATATAATAATGAAGGCAGGCTGAAGGCCCGAATAATCCCTTTTAAATAACGTCATATGAATAACACTGCTGGAATAAGAAACTCTGAACTCACATAGACAGTGATGTTGGAGATAAGGCTTAAAGTGAAACCGAGATTTGAAAACCACATAGTTTCCTGACGAAATATGAAACCATGAGAATTCTCGAGCTAATAGACATATGTACTGATGACGTCAGACGTTTCTGCAGTTGCATTTTCCCATGGAACCAGTGGGGCCCACGGGCACTGGTCACCATAGGAAAGCACTCCTGTAAAAGAAGTGTATACCGTCATCAGTGCAGAGGGCTATGTTAATTACGCACATGAAAGAGCGTGCTTGAAAGAAGTTGCAGGTTTCAAGACGTTACTTTGCATGGATCTAATGGGACACACGATTACCACTGTCCACCTTGCGTCAAATCAACGAGATGCAGAAATCGGTCTTTTGGGAGTGAAATTATAGTAAAACAATACGTATCTCGGCAGTATGTACTAATAATAAGCGCTCTTAATGAGTTATATCTCCCTTTCCCTTTTGTACTGGTTTATTTGCCAGAGTTTAGATTAATTTGTTTGTCTGTGTTTGTTTGTTTTCGAGCACCATGATACACTTCTGTGAGCACATAATGCATATTGGTACAATGTACCTTGAATAATTTGCACAAAAGGCCAGGATACTGTGAAGAGCAGCAATGTTCAACAAAGGGCTAATTTGTCAAAGTAGAATTTATTACGCATTCTATGTCGTTTACTGATCGTCATGAACAGTTTTCAAGAAGTATAAATAAACATAAGACCATTCAAATACGGAAACAACATGAACTGAAATTCACCAAGCAAATAATGCAATCTCTCTAAATATGGAAGAGTGAAAAACTCAATCTTAAAACGTATGAGTTCCTTCCACTCGAACAGTAAAAAAAGAAACCTGCAATTAGTGGATTTTCCACTCTTCGAAGGAGCCATAACAGGGATAACTCGAAAAGACTTGTTTCAATGGCTCCTCTTTTATTAGTTATTTCTATCCTGTTGCAGTAGTTTTCACTCTTTTGGAGTATTTTAATTCATTTCACTGTGGGATTTATTATTTGGAACAACATGGCGGTTTATGAGGAAGTCATTCTTTTTAGATAGAGTTTTTCATCTTTTGCCTTTAGAGAATATAGGATCACTAAAATGACAATAATGTCTTTGAAATGACGATCGTAACTCTAAAGCCTATTGTAGATTCAAACAATCGACGGTGAATTTCATGGGATCTCTCATGTTGCAGCAACCAAAAGAAACATGTCCAATTGCAGAGCAAAACAAAGACAACAGCTCCAACATCTCGTGCTAGATATAGGAATGGTACCCAGTCTACTGACGGTGCTGCCAGCGAGACCAGCCCCTCGGGATTTCCGCCACGGATTAGGCCTGACGGCGTCATTTCGGAAGCTGTGTCTTCAATCCGGATCTGAATCAGAGACACTTATTCAGAAACGTTTCGACTTTTGGTTCTAAAAGGAAGCACAGACGCCTTAAAGAAACCTTACATTCAAGTCTGACGACACACTAAACATGGTTAAACCAATGCGCTGAAGGCATCAAATACAGTAAGACATGCACTGCACGGCTAAAAACAAAACAAAGCTAAGTAAACAAAGGCAAACTTTGAAAACAACAAACGCATGTATACTCAAATTTTTACTCTCGTGAAGACGATGCTTTCTTCTAGTGTACTAGTGGGTCTTTCTAGTTTCTTGTTAAAATCTCAAATGGTGCCCATTTTGCAAGATACTTCAATTTGAGACCAACAATCACACATTAACTAAAACCGTCTCCTTTTAGAGCAGTCAGTTTCTTGAAATCCCTGTAAATTCATTTCCCTTATGGGAACTTTTTCAACCTACTGCTTTGGCTCTCCAAGAGTCCCCATAAGGCACAAGATTTGAGTATACTTCGACGCACACACCAAAACGGTTTTTATTTTGCCTACACTTGGGGACCTCCTATTGTTCCTGTTTTGTTCATACTTCACCTTGTTTAAAAATCCTCCCATAGGCCCTATGTTTTGTACACAACCGACAATCAAGGACCCTCAGTGAATCAGGGACCCTATTGTTCTCTATTGTTTAGGTCCCCGACTAAATGCAAAACCAAACTCTTTTTTTATTTGTCGACAGCTGGAGATTGGAGTTACGAGCGCTTGTCGACTAGAACAATCTGTCATTGCGAAGCTGTGGACTCGTGTACACCGCTGTGCCGACGAGAACAAAGGCTGTGTCCACACGAGTGACAATTGTGTCGTCAGTATAGGAAAAATGGGGGTTTCAAGCCTTCCACGCTTTCCTCCACAACAGTTGGGGAGTATGGCGCCTTTTCATACTATGGTTTCATGAATGAAATACACATGGGCAAACTTCGGCACAAACAGTATTATCAAGGTCAAACTACGATGTCAGTGGTTGTAAAAACAGACAGCCAGTAATAGTTGTCAAGAATTCACCGTGAAAACAAGTTTCAAAGTGACGGATACCTCCAAACTGTTGTGGAATCGTCCATCCACGTCGTCCAAACACCGGTCACGTGGACCAGGGGGATGGGCATGGCGGGCTGGCGTTTCCCAGTCTGGGTGGAGTTGCTGGGAAATTTCACGGTGGCGTAGTGGTTGATGGCGGGCACCGCGGAGGCCTGCAGCTCAGCTAGTCGCCGCAGGAGCCGGCCGACCACGCGCGGATTGCTGGCCGCCACGTCGACACGCTCGATGGGGTCCCTGCGCACGTTGAACAGCCTGATGCACGTTTGGAGGCTGGCGTCCTCAACGAACTTCCAGACATCATCGCCGGACTCTGGTGGCGGTGTCCATATTGAAGCACCTAGGCAAAAACGAGTTATCTTGAAAACGTCTTAAAATAGTGTGACTACACCACAAATTTTGTTTCCTTTCAAAAACTGTGAACTGCAACTACACTTGCAAAACGTGTTAGGCCCGTTCTGTGTCAGTTTCTGGGACACTCTGCAAATTACTCATAACAGACACAGGCCTATGCTTTCTATGGAAGGGGATCCTTAGGCTTCAATCGAATTTCCGGTCTTAATTTTACCTGCATCGCCAGTGACAAGCTTCCAGTTGCCAACTCTGATCGCAGCTCTGATTGTTGCATTAAAGGGCAGCGAGTCTAGTCTTCCCCACACCCGTTCGTCTGTATTCGTCCATTTGGCAGGCTTGTGTAAGGGATCGATATTGTGAAGGAGTTCTTTGCGCGGTGACGGCTTACCCTGGCTGTAAATATCAAAAATTGTGAGGTAGGCTTCACTCACATCATCAGTCACTTCAATGTGGCAAACACAACACAACACATTAACAAGCCAAACTAAACCAAATCAAACTAAAACAGCTGAGCAGAAGAAACTTCATTCCAAGCTATCCCATCCTCTTCGCTAGAATCCAGAAACAAATCAACAGCCGTGGTAAAGCGATCTTAATTTGACAAAGCTATGACAAACAGTTATGATGGTTCATTTACCTTAACGATCGCCATACATTCACCCCATCCAACGGCATAACATACGTCATTCGGCTTCCTGCCAAGCCTCTCACAAGAGTCGGGAACCAGTCGCTAACGTGATACAGTTCTCTATTCACCGTGCCACGTACTGATTTGGGTAGGATCGGACCAGCCACGAAAGCTACGCCGCGTACACCCCCCTCCCAGAGGGAGGACTTTTCTCCACGCAGCGGCCAGTTGATGCCGCCAGCACGAGGTCGACCTCCGTTATCTTTTAGGACGATACAGATAAAAAGATACTCTTTGCATAATACCAGCTTTAAATACATAACTACCTCGAAAGTCATGTAATTTTCCAGTTTTCTAAAGAGCAGTGTTAAACAGTCTTAGCTTTCACGAACAAAGATTTAGGGTCAATGACTGCTTTATGACGAAAGATTGGTTGTTAAACACAACCATGGTACAACCATTTTTTATAATCGAATATGCATTGAATCTTGATTGATGCTTTTTTAAGAATGAAAAAAGGAAAGTCAATTGTTTAAAGAAAAATATTCCATTTTGCCCCCTTGGAAAACAGGACCTGACTATGCCACTGGTTGTTTGGGTTTTGTGCTAAGCGACTGTCACAGTGAATGTACCCAACAATTATCACTGTGCTTACCGCCATTAGCGGAGGCAACTGATGACTGCAAATAATGACCAGTGATTGATGTATACCCTGTGCTGTCCGTGTTCTTACCACAAGCACCAACTGCACGTTCCATAAGTTAACAGCAGAGCTCGTGTCAACTGTAAATAAAATGGCAGCCCCGTATCATTGGTCCTGCAGACTTGGTGAGTTCGTTCCGTCATGTACTCGTTCACAAACACAACAGCGATAGGAATACCATATGGGCCAATTTGTTCACACGAATCCGAATCTCGGTCAGTACCCTGTCGTCGGTTGACTGACACCAGAACCCGCCTAGTGGATAGTGCGTTAGGACTACTAAACGGGATTTCAATCCCGCGTAAAACAACTTCAGGCCCAATGATCACTGGAGTACTGCGTCTGTACAGTAGAGAATGGGTGCGTGTGCAGGGCTGTGCCTTGTTTCATCGTTGCATCGAAAAGAAAAACAAAATTAATGCATTTGCCTTTCCAAAATACACTTTCAAAGAAACAAAACTGTCATCAGAAAACAGTGAAATGGGGGAATGGGGACGATGCGGTGATGATGGCTTAATAGGGAACCGACAAATATGACATCACGTGTGACCAGGATATTTATCTCAGTTACTCAGTTATCGTTGTGTCTCCCCGCGCTGAAAAAAACATACATACGCATGCCGTTGTGCATGAAAGAAAGTGGATATGGTGGAAGGAAGCTCAGGGTATCGCGGCTAGAGATTAGGCGCAAGATGGGGTCAGGTGGACAGAAATAAGGGAAGCCTCATGCCCCACTCGCCCAGATTGATGAGAATTATCGAGTTACCCAGACTCTTCAAGCACTCACCGGTGGAGAAGATGAGAAGGGTGTTTTCCCACAGGCCGTGGACTTGCAGGGCCCTTGTGATGTTCTGCACGCCCTCGTCGACGACACTCAACATGGCGGCGTACTTCTGCCGCTTGGTGTCAGCTATCCTCTGTGAGTGCTCCGGCAGGTAGTCATGGGGCACCTGGAGGGGCGTGTGCTGGCTCTGATAGGACACGTACAGGAACAGCGGAGGCTTCGAGAAGAACGAACAAATAGGCCTGAGAGACAATCTGCCGACAGTCCGATATCAGTCCGAGCTTTTCAGTTGGAAAGTTGCAAATGATCCCTTACGTCCCACTAATCTTAGTTTTCCGGCCATGAATTACCATCAAATATAGGACTGGTTTTGCAAATCGCTTCTACAGAAGGGGGAAAAGCCCAACCTTTGACGAGCCTGTGTGGTACCCAATGACCTCCTCCGCTCGTTCCGTGTATAGCGTTGTGGAGTATTTCTGGATTTTTGGCTTCACAGGTGTCTCGTTGAAGTACAGAGCACTGCCGGCCCGCTTCTTGTAGTTGAAATGGTTACTCTGTCCCAGGACAACCCCTTTCAGATGGTTCAAAGCAACAAAAGCATGTTGTGAATGAAGGTAAATAGGAAAGAAAGCTGTGAGGGATACACACCGCACGTCATGAAGTTATGCTTGGGCCGGGACGAGAAAAAAGGAGAAATAAATTACACGTAACACCGGTGTTTCATTTGTCCCTTGAGTGCCAGAATAGTTGTAGGACAGACGCATTCGATTCTAACACTTAATACACCTGTAGACCCATTTTGCTTATTTAGATGAGCTCTTCGGAGTTTGCTCTCCAAGTAATGGTTATCTTGACATCATTCTAAATTCTAAATTCACGAGACCCCTAAATCCTGTCTAAATCTGTGGAATGACATTTTTTAAAAGTTACACTTAGGAAACTTGTTTTTGGAAACGCACAGCTTTAATGTCAGTTTCCCGCTTCCAAAGTTCCGTCAGACTTTGTTATGCCTGGGCTGTCACTCGTTTAACACCATCCGTGCTTCTCTCACGCTCATGATTGACACCTCAATACAATTCAAGCAATGCAGTGCATGCCCGGCCCCTGCGTGTAACCTTTTCGATTGAGGCTGAATGTGTCCAGCACGTGCAGAGCTGTTGAGCAGGGGATTTAGCCGCTCGGTTCAGGGGCAGTTCACGATAATTTATAATCAAGCATAACCAGCTCTTTAAAAGTACACAACACATAGGTCAACCAACAGTTTACGATGAGTCAGTTTTCTGTTTTCAGAAAACATTGGGTTTTCTTGGATATAAATCGTGTGGAAGCTCCCACACAGAATGTTGGGACATTCTGTGTGTGACCTTCCACACGATTTATATCAAAGAAACGTGTACATTTAGAATGCGGTAAGTATATAAACGTCATTTGGTTCAGCAGTTCCCTCCCACAATATCGTTTTGCACCTTTCTTGCTCAAACGTCTGTCGGGTTGGCAAAGAAGTTCTTTCCTGGCCTTACACCTCTGGGGCCCGGGTTCGATTCCCAGCTCCGTCCACATGTGGATTCGGTTTTCCGTCCCTACCTGATTCCGTGGGTTTTACCCAAAAATTTCTTCTGTGGGGTATTCCTCCCACATCTAAACCTGAAACTGCTTCTCATTGTCTCCACTCCGTAGAGAATATTTGTGCCCACAGTATGTCTCTTAGAAACTCCAATAATTACTGGATCCTTCATTAAAAACCAACGGATATGGTAAAAGTGCAATACCGTTTCTGTCAAAGCTTCTTAATCAAATTAACCAACGAGTTTTTTTGGACTCTAGTGCAGTTTTGTGTTTTCCTTTTTGTTTTTTAATAATTTATTTATTTATTTTCATATTTTGTGATTTTTATTTGTAATTTTGTATGAATGTAAAAACCATGTAAGTCAGCTTAATGCTGCGAATTGGTTTAATAAAATATGAATATGAATATATGTGGGTCGTTTGGCAGCTGCCGGAGACGCCCTTGTGCGCCATTGATTGACTGGACCACGTTTAATGTCTTCATATGTAGGCCTACAGCGCAGATGAACATACATGTATGGAATGTTTGCTTTTATAAATGACAATTAACGAGAATATTATTCATCATCAAAGTCTTGCGTTACACCTTACGTAATGATGTATGGCCTACAGACCCCGCAGTTCACACTTTCTGTGGCTGCGCCCACGATTCTTTGCGGTCCGCCTTTTTTTAATTCTTTTTGAAGGGGTCCTAATGGGGTTTATCATGTCACAGGCCTTCGTTCTAGTCCAGCTAGTGATATATCCATTTCAGATGCGGTCTAGTACGACTTCGAGCACTGAGGGGTGCATCGCAAGATCTCTTAAACTCACTCTTGGCGCGCAATCTTTCCCGATCCACACAATTTCCCTAGATATTTCCCTTCGACCAAAAACCTTGCGCGCACAATAACGAAGAGTCGTCATGTAGGCTAGTCCCCACATTCGCAATGCAATGCACTCTTCCTTTTTCCCCCCAAATGGTCCTTCGCCTCCCTAGTGTGTAGGCGGTTGTGGATAAGCACGCTAATCACAGAGGAGCAGCCCAGGTGGTTTCCGCATTGTCGTCGTGTGGATTAGCACGTCAGAGTCAGACGATGGGTGCAGACGAGAGGTCGCGTGGCAGTCACGGTGGAAGCATAAACTGTCCTGGTGACTTAGTTTCAACATTAACTGTCTGTATAGACCACTCTTATTTTGCCTACAACTTGTATGGAGGGGGGCTAAAGTTTGCAGATATCACCTTTTGGTTGGTTTTTCGATTTTATATCAAATTCATTCGAAATTGACATTTTGTCCCATTAAAGTTAGATAAGGTCCTGAACTATTTTGTACTAGCTGTATGATCTTGTAATCTGATAACATAGTGGGATTTTGAACACTTTGTAAATTATTTTTTTAGTATTACTTTTGTCTTTTGTACTGACGGCGTTCCATAGTTTTAACAGCAACTTGTAGGAAAAACACGACTGTGACGTCAAAAGAGCAGTCTTTTGCTACAAGCTTTAAAGGAACAACTGAAAGGGATTTCATAAGAAAAGAAAAATCCTAAAATATACATCTCCGTTTCCCTTTAATTACTGGCATTTTTATCGATTTTTTGGGGTGTATTCGAGGCCCGTTTGGGTTGTATGCTACTGCAAAATTGTCGATGAGTTAACTTGTGCGTGATCTCGGACACAAGCTCCGTTTTACAACTGTGTTTGTGTTGAACCCGTTAGAAGCTTGTGTCATGACTGTTGGTTTCTTGTTGTTATCTTTTGTATTTTGTCTTGCTGTGACTAATTCCTTTTGCTTTGTATGATTCTTTGCTGATAAAACATGACAGCAAACTCCACTTTACTTAAGACTATTTCTGCAGAAAACACATATTGTGGAGTAGATTCACATCACACAAAATATTAGCACCCTAGGGAGTCAAACACGTTAGGCCTTGTACATTCATGTACTGGTAAAAATACACTTTTCCAACCAATTTTTTTGAATCGTAAAGAAGGGCATATCCAGAACAATTTTTTTGGGGGGAGGGGGCACCTTGTAACCGTTTATAGCCTTTCTGAGGGTGAGGCTACATTTGGGACATTTCACAGGCTCTTTGAAACAAGGGAAATGAATCAGACCAAGAATTTCCATCTCACTCTCATTATTTCTCCATTAAATGTAAGCTAATCTTTGGGAAGGGGCCGGAGGATGGACCCAGCTCCCCCCTCCCCATCGATCACCAAACGGTGTCCAATTATTTAGAATCAGCATTAACAGTCATTGGCACGTGCACAAAACATCTTTAAATGCCAACCTCTTCTGCATGGCAGTTATGGGGCTGAAAGATGGGACTTTTCATCCGGCTTCAAATGAACTGGTTTGAACCAGAATGAACCGACACTGATTTAAAGGGTATCTGCAGTCAATATGTATTAAATGCAAACCTTTCCAATGCACAGTGTATTTTAAACTTTATTTTCGACTTTTGTTTTACTGATTCAAAGGGCCTTTTACTGCTTGTTTGGTTTCTATGCTCATGAGTATTTTCCACATTCACGAGCAGACTTGTGATGTCATCTCAGGAAGCAAGCCTCACTGTTACATTTGTTTGTACCAAAAATAGTCCTGCATTTTTGTCGATTTTGCTGGGCTGTGTTTTCTCTTCATTATGTGCATAGCAAAACGCAGGCATCAATCCCTTTCTCAGAAATGTTTTCATTAAGTATACTCTCAGTTCGCAATTTTTGACAGCGAAACCTTTGCTCTTAATTTCCCTTAACTTATCTTCCCTGGATAACATCACAGCAACAGCGCCTTCAAATGTAGTTGAAAGCATGAGTAGTTTCTGGTATTTTCAAACGTGCAGGTCTGACGCACAAGTCATAATAGCTTAGCGGGTTATATATACAGGTCTGAAATGTTCAATGCAGGCCAAATCTCTGGTATATTAAGCATTCTGGAGAGTCTGTAAAATAATATGATGGAAACCACTAACAGGACAGTCAGCTTCTATTTCAGAGAAAATGGTGGCCCTCCAATTGGCTGTATTTTACAGACTTATAGGTATCAATACTCAAACTAGCGACTTGTTTTAAACAGGGGTTTTCACCTCAGTCGCAATGGGATTTCGTCGAGCACAATTCGTTACCCCCTCAAAAAAATTCTGTAGGATGAGGAAATGAGCTTTAATTTTTGAAGAGTGTATATTGATCACTTTACCGATCTGCAGGGTCACTGACATCCCTTTTCACTTGATCATTTGAGGTTTGAGAAAGGCCCACGGGTAATTATTTTAATTGGGGGAGACATTTATTCCCTGAGTTTTGAGGAGTGACGGTGGTTGAACTTTTATTAAATTTTCAACAGCGGTTAGAGTATAAACAGATCAAAGGCATGCGCAGTAGGCGAAGATAAATACACTGCTTGTCGTGTATTTTCTTTTGAAAAGTTCTCTGCTTTGTATTTGGAAATGGATATATATTATGGATCTTCTGGATTTAAATATGACAGTTGAACTTGCTGATTGACTTCTGTTTTCAAAGTACATGTATTTCTTCTAACTAAACGTATTATCATATTGAATTCAATATGCTGTATATATTTGTACAATAATTATGTCAATGTTATTTATCAAAAGATCTATATACATTTAATCATGTACATATGATACTGACACAATGCCATATTGTGAAAAGTAGAGCAATCAACACTTTTAACATCATCTCCAGTTTCAGTAACCAAGAATCATTGAAGTTTGACTTTATCTGTTTTGGGAACACGAATTTGACTTTATCTGTTTCGGAAATATATTGGATGTAGACCAGAGAATGTAACCATATGTGTACGCACCTAAGTAGGAATCGAAGCCCCTTTTTGTCGGCAAGCACTCTTGACGGCAGAACCCCAGATGCCACTTGCCTACGCCATGGGTGGAGTAGCCGGCCGCCTTCAGAGCTTGCGCCAGGGTGAACTCGTGAGGGGGCAGGCAGTGGGGCGACGTCTGCACGAGGTTGTCGTGCTGCATGCCCGTGTGGATCTGGCGCAATGGGTTCGGGAAACTGGAATTTATATATTTATTTCGTACAAGCATGGAGGTAGCAAACAATACAAGGAAGGGAAATTGATTTTCGTGTAGTTGGCGATGACTTTAAGTGTATGCAATTTTGGAAGGTGCCGCGTAGCCAATATGAGAACTGAAACAAGAAAAATCCACTGCACAGTAACGGACTGGTGTTAGATTGTAGGAGTGTTGAAGCATTAGTCTACACATTTCAACAATCACAGCTTTTGAAATGGAAAGAAGCAAACTTCAGTTTGGCTACAAAACTTGCAGGAATTCAAATTTGACAGGGAAATGTTTAGCATTTTTGTACTTGAAAAATCATTTTCGTCCGACCGTAGACGAAGTATGAAGTTTACTAGTGTTCATAATGTACACAGTACAGGTTTTTCTGTGGGTCTTCACTTCTTGCGTTCTGCCTCTACCAATCAGACTCGAGTTTTCTAGTACAATCCTACATTTTATTTGTCCCTCGCCCAATCTTGGGTTTTGCTAGAAATAACTACCTCTACCTCTACCTTTAAATCTCTACACATAAATATGCTATCAATGTCCTTGATCCTAAATTGTTTCCAAGTCCCTGTAGAATTGATGAAGGTTCATTTTGTTTCAGAATCCATTCCTAACTTCTTTTGAAGGATGGCCAAGTAAACGAGTTCGTGCTTGAACTACCTCAGATGTCTCCTGTATTCATGTTAAAAGGTTTGTCTCTTTTTTCCCCAAACTGAATTCTGCTTCATTTTGTACTTACACAAGGATTTAAATGGCCATAATGTATGCGTAGCTCAATACAACTTGGCCCAGTTTTCATGTGATTCCTCGGGGACCTACCTGATACCTGCCCGTCATTAGCTGGCTTCGTGTAGGGGTGCAGCTAGGCTGCACGTAGTAGTTCTCAAGCCGGACCCCCTCCAGTGCCAGCCGGTCGATGTTAGGGGTTCGCAGCAGGGCCCCGCCCTCACCGTGGTAACCCACATCGTTGAAGCCTAAATCATCCACTAGGATGAAGACGATATTGGGCGGGTTCTTTTTTTCCTTTCTCTGCCCGGCGTCAGGTCGGGGCTTCCTCTTCATAGCTGGCCAACCGACCATCTCGGCGACCGCAAAACCCTGGCACAGAAGTAGGACCCATATTGAAAGCAGCAGAACGGTGCTGCTGTACACGCAGACCATGGCTGAACATGAAGGCAGCGCGCGCCCTGGACCCAATCTGCGATGAAGCGTTCTGCTGTCCCAGTCTCTCTCCGGCCTGCCTTTCGTTTGACGCCGTGCTCGATCGGGTGCGTGTACATGCCTCATTTCCAGCACTGCATGCCACTAACCCCCCACTGACTTGATACGCCGGTTGACGGAAAACACCGTCCACCAAGCGCGGCTTGTAATAACGAGCCGAGGGGCCGCATGTAGGGTTCGTGACAACAGATTGCCATGACCCTGCCTGCTGGAATGTGTGATATGAGAATCGGCTGCCACGATTGCCATTACACAAACCTCAACGCGGACGTAATGTATTAGCTACTAGTCTTAAACAGGCAAGAAAGTGTTCTATGGTTACAATTTATTCAGTTAAAACAGTCGATTTCCTATCGGTCTGGGTAGTTTGTTCCTTATACTGTTAACGTACATCCGTCTTGCACATGTATGCACTGCATAAAAGCAAAAAAACATATGAAATATAAAGCATAGATTTTTAATTAAGAGATATAGAAGGGTTGGCGGGAATGTGCATTGGCCTTTTCCTATTACAAGAGGGCGCTCTTATACATAAATGGTCTTCAAAAAATGTCCTGAGGTACCAACAAGAAACACATAATAACACCGAATTCTGCAATGAACACTGTTGCTCTTAGAGAACGCCAAAACATGACGGTTTGCACAAAGTCGCATCCCTGAACTCTGAAACCCAACCCAAATGAAGGTGGCCCATTCCCGAATAAAATGGTAAGCAGTTTATAAAGTACTAAAACAACCATGGCGATTACAACAAGTTTCCCCTTGTACAAAACGAAGCACGCTTTTCACACAATGCACAATGATGCCAATTCTGTCAAAACTTTTGAATCACAAAATAGAGAAATGGGCAAAGTCTTTGGTATAGTATATGTATCTGTACTTCTGTAGACCCCGCTCATTGCGTCCTTTGCATAATACAAGTACAAGTAATATACAAGTAGATCTTTATATGTAATCACAAGAATTCTTTTGACTTTATAAGTCCATGTACAGCAATATTTCAAGTTCGAAATGTTTCCCTTCTGTCTTATTTGTTTGAAGAAATTCGACCCGGGCCTTGCCAGCAATTAAAACAAAAACGGCTTTTCATAACCGAACAGTTCAAAATCCAGCTTGTAAATGTTATAAAGTCGTTGAAAGTTGCTTCTACTCATATTGCCAAAATATTGCTCCACCAACTTGTCACCTTTCTTTTCGTCATGACTGGGGTAGCGATGTGCAGATGAGGGAAAACTGAGTTGTTTCAGTTCCAAGTAGTTGAGAAGAAATCTCGAATCTGACTCCACCGTCTCGAGCTTTGCGACGACGTCGTAGTTGACGCGACACGGCAGGCAGAGCTTGTACATCTCCCGCCAGTGCGGGTCGAATCTGCTGAGCTCGGTAGGGTCGGTCAGATATTGGATCCACTCGCCCCACGTCACGTGGATCGTGTTAGGGTCGAAATCCTCACCCCCCGCTCCCTTGCGGTACTTGCGGACGATGTACACGGCGATATCGGTAAACTTTGGATCCTGCCCTTCTCGCGTGGCCTCGCCAGAGATTTTGTCCCGGTAGGCCGAGATCAGGCGGGCAAAGGGGTGGCGCACGTGCAGGAACTTGGTGTAAAGGCTATGGCTCCGTAACCTGTCCAATAAGTGCGTGTGAGCCAGTAACTCGAAGTCGTTTTGCCAATGGGCGTCGTAGGCTGAGATATTCGCGACGTTGGACCGGACTCCTTCCAGGACCATAAAGGCTCGCTTCCAGTTGGTGCTTCCGGTCTGCAGAGAAGATTTCAAGTCGAATGTTTATTTTGTGGATTTAGAATACTTGGCGCGACCACATGGCCTTATTTCAAGATGTTAGTGGTTGGGAAGTCCCCCAAATCTCCCCTTCCCCGCCCACTTTGTGTGGGGGTGGGGGGTGGTCTGTTGAATCATTCCCTGGGGAAGGGGGGAGCATGTGCCCCCATCCTGTTGGACTTTCAGAGAAGGTACTCCATCGATTTGTGCAAACTTTGATTGATTATAATGTGTGGACTATTTGAAAAGGGTACGATTTGAGCTTTCCAGTCTTTCGTTACGGTATAAAAAGGAATTTACCTTGGTATTACGAAGTAGAATTTTTCTGAATCTTCGATTCATGATTGTCACTTATACACTTCCATCGCACTACGTTGCATGTAATGCGGTAGCTGGCTTAGAGGCCAAAACAATCGAGTCGCGGTGGGTTCGTACGTGCACGCATGACACCACTGAGGCCATAATAGGCAAGTTCGATCAAAGACCATAGTTAACCATAGTTAACTCTGATCGGTAGGTAGGTAGGTTAGGAAAGTCTACTCAACTATTTGCGACCAGCCTATCCAGGGTGGTCGCATCGTTGGTTGCCACAAACCGTTTTAATTGCACAGTGCAGAGGGGACCAGAAAATACAGGAAACAGTATGGTAACCAACCATTTTCCTTTTATTTTTGCTATTTTGCCCTTCCTGAGGTCACTTCTCCCCTTTGGTCAAATGACCCGACAACGTTTGACTAGGGTCGTTCGCACTTCAACTTCACTACACATGCGCTAGTTACACGTCATGAACAAACCGCTACTTAACTATTGGTCCATAGATCAAACTTAAAGTTGCCCGGATGTCCGGATGAATTGCTTGAGGCCAAGACAATTATGCACGAGCATGAAGTCTGGTAGTGGCCTCCACCAGTTCCCACAAAGTTCTGCGCAATTTCAAGCGACGGCCCAGTTAGAAAGCGGCTTGAGTTTCACGTACCTTGGGTAAGGAGCAATAAAGTATTTTGGTCTTTTCCAGGATGAATACTTGGCTGGCATGTCGCACCTCTTGCGCGGCAAGGGGATGTTGCCGGCAGATGTCTCTCAGACGCTTTTGTCGCCGGAGCTGGACAAGCGCTTGTTCCCGCATGAAGTGACTGTCCGGTTCACTGCTCTGTCCCGAGTTCATCTAAGGACACACAGAAAAACACTGAAACCGTTAATGACGAGGATTTATTCAACCATGACGTAACTACATGTACATTGCACGGACTCTGAAGTAACAAGAAGTGGAATGGTATTGGTAAACTAGGCTTTTTTTGCAGCAAACGCCGACATTTGAAAGCCGGAGATTTAATCTGCAATATTATTGCAGATGCCGAGTTATAGTCTAGGCGGAGTGTCAATATCGCATCGAAGTGAGCGCTTTTACCTCCAGCCGCGGGAGTCGGATAGGGCGTGCGCAGAACTTTGAAATGATGTCGGTATTACAATATGTAGTTCTATTGGCAATCCGCTTTTCGAAACCTTGCTTTCATATATTATTTACATTTCGCGTAGGCTACAGCTGCCAAAATTGTAAACAGTTATTGCCTGGGGGTTTCAGCCCAAATGTCACAAGCTCTAACGTATGGTGGCGATAACGAAAAGGTATTTTTAATTACGTCATTAAGTGAGACAGATGACAACCACCTCTTTGAAGCACCAGTAATGAGCAATATAATAATAAACCTCCAATACGTCATCCTATCTTCCTCCATCGATTATTGCTAAAATGTTGGGAAGGGGGAGGGAAAAATGTACAGCCCTGGTAAAGTGCAAAATAACTGGGACAGCAAAGCTGCCATAGCGTGCGTCCGGCTGCTAGATTCATGACAAAACTAATATAAGTTTCGGTAACATTTTCTTTGATTTCCAACCTACCTTAGTCAATGACTGCCGCCGGCGCACACTTCCAGCAAAATTCTGATCAGCGCAGACGTTGTTGCTTCTTTCATGGACGGACTGTAGGCGTAGGGACATTGCTGGTTTCCCTGGCAAGTCTGGAAGAAAAATAAGAATCTGGGATAGACTTTTAAAAGCGCATAAATGCAATCAAAAGATGTCCAATGGACAATAAAATAAACAAATTTAACATTGAAAACATACCAAAAACTTGTTTGCTCGACTTGTTTGCCAAGCTTCCATGCACTCCCGCTCCGGAAAGAGTTGCTTTTTGGGATTTCAAATGCGGTAAGATAACTGTAGTGCAGTGCTAGCTTGGTTTTCAATTGTACATGATCTTGTTTGAACAAAACGGTTAATTCCGACAAAAAGGAGTGACAAGTGTAAAGGCCGCAGATTGACCTTTTTTCATTATCCCTCCTTTTGGGTCCTTTTAATTAATTTAAATTCTGTTATTTCTGGCAGTGGCGTACATTTGTGCTGGACATGGGGGGGCGCTAGGGAAAGGTGCGTGTGTGGGGGGGACTGGCAAGGCCATGGAAATGTGAAAAAAGTGTGGGGGGGAGGAGATATCATCATGTCGATATTCGTGGTTTATCTGTAATAAGTGTTCCATTCATGCAGAATCTTACATCAGAATGGCATATTTCAGCCTTTTTAAAATTAGTGTTTTCCCTTTTTAAGCGATATTAATCGCATTTCAGTCTAAAAATTCTTCACAATCTGTACATTAACACTGGGTGCACAATCCCCGGATTCCTGTACATGTAGATAAGGAGCAAGGCACAGAGATTTTCGGGATTTCTTCGACTAACCTTTTGGCCTGTGGCCTTAGGCAGAGTTTGAAGGCATTTAGGCCTACACGCTTTGGGGAAGACTGAGGGCAACCGATAAAGTACAAATTCGTCTTCCAACAAGAAGATTCTTCTTCGGTGCGGGGTGACTGGAAGAATTTCACGAAATAGATTTTTGGAATTCACTTAATAGGCCTAATGTGGATTCCGCCCCGTTAGACTCGTTTGTACCACGCTTGACTTTCTGACACTTGACATGCACGTAGAGATAATTTTTATCGTTACAAATGTGACGTTCCAATTCAGACATATGGTTTTGTTGATCAGTGCTGACATTTCAAGTTCAAGGCTACAAGCGCACCAGCCCGCGTGCATGGAACACAGTACTGGAAGCACTATCCTAAACATTTTTGCTGTCCTTCCGGTGCTGCACAAGCAGGATTTGTTCTATTCAAAAAATGGTGCCGAAATAATTGGTACTTGATAACTGTCAAATGTATGTATACACCACCAGGGAATGAGTGGCCTCCAAAATCCAGAAGTTGCAACCGCTGCCTGGAAGTTGCTGCAGCTGTAGTCCTACACGAACAAACCAGGGGGGGGGGAGATCAAAATCTAGGGGATATCGATCCATGATCGAGCCAACTTTGCCAAAAAAGAACGTGTGTCATTACTCAGTCTATCTGGTCGATACCATGAACGCACTGGTACAAGAGAAAACAATACCCTGTGACAGGCACACCTTCGATGAGTGTTTACCGAGAAGGTTACTGACTCTTCACTCAGCTATCGTTGTTGTTGAAGTTGTTACGCATGACTCGTGCAGCCTTTTATGTATCCCGGAAAGGCTATTTCTAGAGGTGAGCCTATTGTTACCCCACATCGAACAAGCTTAAATAGTTCGTTTCGGCTTCATGCAAAGTATTACGTAACTATCTCATTGTGTGTCTCAGTTACATAGAGAAAGCATTTTACAGGCAGTGGGCTTTTACCATTTTCGAAAGTACAGATCCCAACGGGATTCATGACCAATTTAAACTCCCAAATACCTCACATTTTTGACCTGTGTACATGCTGGAGTCATGACAACATTCAAATCTTTTACGGCCTTAAAGGCAGGACGGTTGTTTGTTTCACACGGATCTTGATCTCGATCTTTGGGTCCAAGGCTGGTTTGCTTTGCTCCGTCCGTCAAGCGGGTACTGGTGTTCTTTGACCCACGTTGGATCACTGATCGCGATCTGGATCTGCGCGAAACCAAACCGTGCCCGTTGTCGTATCGGGATCAATGCGGAAATACTTTCGCCCATACCAATCACACCCTGTAAATTGAATATCGTTGCTGACATCAATCAGTTCATCTTCAGACCTATAAATGGCGTCACCAACTAAAATAATAATTATAAATGTAAGATTGACACTTTGAATAACATAACTGACAAAAAGAATAAATAAAATCGGCCTGAATACACTCTGTGGTGGTACTCCAATAGTTACTTCTTCAGGTTGGGAGACTTCACCCTTACAACGATAAAACTGCTTGTTTCCTATTTTAGTCCATGAGCTAAGACCCCAAAATCAGACGTGGGTTTCCTCTTGGTGGGCATTACTCAATAAAGGTTTCATCAATAAACCTAGTTCTGCAGGTGTCGGGCATCGATCCTAGCTAGCTACAAATGATGTGGAAATCATCTTTAATAACTTATGATCTGAAATATGCAGCGGAATATTTAGGTACCATGGCATTGTTATGTTTATAGACCAATAAAAAAATAAATAGATACTTACAGTACGAAATGACAAATGTTGTCAGGCATAATGTTACCAGACCTAAGCAAACAACCAAACGATGACTTCGAAGACTTTGCAGACATTGCACTACCTGAAACAAAACATATTATAAACGAAACTGATTTCGTCCAGCCTTTTAAGAGGCTCCTTTTTAAAGGATATGCAGAGTTCTATAATATCCAGAGATATTCCTACCCCTTCAAATCTTGACAGAACAGAATGCACTTGACAGGAAAAAAAGGCACTTTCATGTTTATTTTCACTTCACAATTAAGCAGTTTTGGGCCATGAAAACGCAAAATTTTTCGCAATTCGACTAAGTTGAATTATTTGTAATATTTCCAAAGAATGTCGGTTCCAACAAAAGACTCGAGTGAAATCCTCAGAACACTAGAGACTAAGGATAAACTGTACTTGTCAATTCCATATGCACATTCTAGACAATTGTTACGTAACACATCCCCCTGAAGTCTGTAAAGAATTCCTGAGATTCCGATCAAACAGCGACTAACACAAAGGCGGAAGGGGGGGTTCTCTCTGTCCCATAGTTTGCTTCATATGCGAAAACAAACACGGTTCTCCATTTATCTGTCTATCTTTGTTTTAAACCAAAAGAATATTTTTTTTTACGGAAGCTAACAGTAGATTGGAACTTTTCACGGGTAATGTAAAAACAGGTGATTAACAACTTACTCAGAAAACGCGTCTAAGATCCGGTGAATGGTTACAAGAAACAGACAAGATAACTCAAAGTATGGAGCGTCAAAAGTGGACAACCTCATTTTTTCATTTTCTGTTAGTAGATGTTCGGGATTTTGGACTTTGCCTAAAGCATTTTCAAAATACGCAATTTTCTGCTAGGAGAAATTTGGATTTTACTTTAACAACTCTCGTGGCGCGTCAAAAGTGGACAACTAAACACTTCAAACTCCCACTGGCAAATTTTATTTGATGCTTCCAAAGAGAATAACCCCATTTTCTCATTTTCGTAGAGTTTTTTTTAGACGTTTGGGTATTTTGAAGTTGTACCACCCCTTTTCAATAAAACCCAAATTTCTGCTAGCAGAAATTTGGATTTTACTTTGCCGACGGTGGGGTGGTCCAAAAGTGGACAAGTTAAAAGCTGGAAAGACACTTTTCTTCCTACGTTGAAATGGAACGGTCTTGGGAAGATGGCATCACCCGACTCTGGAAAAAATAAGGTGGAGAAAATTGGCGGTCCTTTGTACACGTACTGTACATGTAGTAGGACTGCAAACGTGCGGAGCCGTCTGTTGACGGGTACCTGGCGTCATTTCCCTTGGTGCATGTGATTGGCCTTTTTCATGCAACTTGTATTTCCATTTAGCCGATTTTGTGAAAAAGATCGGACCTTCTTCACGTCAAGGATGTGAATTTTATGGGATTTCTCGGAGGGGAGTATTATTCTATAGGAAATTATTGAAAATAATATATACGTCGAAGACTGACAAAAATTATGAATTGATTATAGTGGAAGTTACTCGGAGTGGCAAAACTGAACAACCAATTTTTTGATATTCAGATATCCTATATTAAGATTTGTTATACAATCCACCGTCCATGCATTTCACAGTACATGTATCTAATGACTGCTCTGGGCCGTCCATTGCAAGTTTGTGTTTTCATTGCGTTAATATCTCTTCACATTGTCACTTCAAATCATTTGTTTTCATATTAATGACCCAGGCCTCCACTATAAATGACCACATGTATTGATGACTTGAACAAAAGTTTGAATAATAAATATCAAATTATGATGTTATATCAGTGACCGCCTGGTGTGCTGGCTGAAAGATTTATTTTCTTCGTAGCTATCCTTTTTTTGTTATTGGAATTACTAGCTGAATACGTGTTTTAGAATTATTTTGTGGGATGTCATATTTATTTCAGCAAATTCAAGTTTTTGAAACTCTTGATTCACCAGATTAGCTTCTTCTCTTAAGATGACTTTTTCGACCACAACCTGTTTTCGTTCCAAAACAAATTCAATTATTCTACTGGAATGGACACAATGGGTTATTGAATTCTAGCTATAGCATCGTTTAGGGGACATATCACCATGCGCTCATTTATTTCAAATGGAAATTCCCGATGGCAAGCCACCACCGTCGTTCGAATTACACCGTGTGCTGGGAAGTCGGAAGTTTGCAGTACCATGAAGGACTGTCTTGCTTTGGACTGCCCCTTTCCTATTTGCAAGTTTCTCAGTAGGAATCGCCCACATTTTTTCCCGAGCTGTGAAGCCATCCGTCGACGCCTCAGATGCACAACCATTGACTCTCTACAGTTAATGTTGGCTGCCAATCTTCCCGAGACCGTTCAATTCTGAGCGTAGGGAGCACAGCGGTCGTTTCGTTTTCAACCTGTCCACTTTTGGACCACCCTGCCGTCGGCAAAGTAAATTCCAGATTTCTGCAAGCAGAAAATTGGGTTTTATGAAAAGGGGTGGCGCAACTTCAAAAAACCCAAACATCTACTCGCAGAAAATGAGAAAATGGGCTTGTCCTATTTGGGAGCATCAGATGAAATTTGCAGTGAAAATTTGAAGTTTTTAGTTGCCCCCTTTTGACGCGCTACGAAGACTTCTTTAAGTAAATTCCCAATTTTTGCAAGCAGAAAAGTGAGTTTTTAAAATTGCTATACGCAAATTCCCCAAACACGAAAATCTACTAGCAAAAAATAAGAAAATGGGGTTGTCCACTTTTGATGCGCCAACGAAGAGTTGTTTAAGTAAAATCCAAATTTCTCCTAGCGGGAGATTGCGTTTTTTGAAAATGCTTTATACAAAGCCCAAAATCCCGAAAATCTACTAGCAGAAAATGAGAAAATTAGGTTGTCCACTTTTGACGCTTCATATCAAAGAGCAAAGAGGAAGTAAATGGTTCATTGGTTGTGTCACTCCGAAATTTTTCCAGTTTCTTTACAATGGTTGTATTTTATATGTTTTCACTCACCTTCGACACATTCTCCGGTTGATGTGCCATTTTCTCCATTTGGCTTGAATGGGTATCGAAAGGCAGGTAGTACAGGTCTCATTGCACTAGACATTAAACTGAAGCGACAACACACTTCCGTCTCCAGACCAAATGAACCCAGTTTTTGATAAATATAACCCTGTAGAGGACTGCTTTCCCTGGAAAGGGGAAATGCAAAGTGATAATGACGTATGGATCTCTTTTCCGATCGAAACCAAACCGCACGAATTCGCTCAGGCCCAAAACTTGGATTCCCAGAGACCGTACACGAGAGGTGAGAAAACATTTGCAATACAAGGTTTCACGAACCTATCAAAAACCCCATTACGCACTTGGATACTGTAAATGCACAAACGGCTCTCATGTTTTCATCAAGAGCGCTTTCCTCCTCTCACTATGAAAACAGTCAACAATGCACTGTGGACGTCCGGAATGGGATTTTCCTACAAAAATTGAAATCGAATGCGACTTTGGCAGCGATTATCCAAAATCACACAAGAGCCAGAAACCACATCCAGGATTATGTTGTTAGAGTCTAACTCACGATGTGATTTCTGGCTCCTATGTGATTTTGGTGGTGTGGGTGAGACATCAGATAGTCCTTTTCAAAATCCAGGCGAGTCGCCATTCCATTTTTGTTGGGAAATCAGATTCAGGCCGTTTATAATGTGAACGTGTAAGTCATGTGACTTTAAAGAATATCAATTAATTAAGTCTACTGGCTCTACAAGGGCAGTGACTCTACAGAGATGAACGGAGTTGAGTGGCATACATGTACGTATATTTACCAGTGTTGAAGTCGAGACCGGTTAGTCCAATATCGAAAACGAGACCGGTCTAGAGACCTACACCACTGATATTTACAGCAACACACGTGTTCGGACGAAAACAATCATGTGCATGACGCAGTGTGAGGTAATAATGTCGGGTCGTTTGTGGATGGAGGGCCGTATTCGTTGCAGGCGCGTGTAATACACATTAGGCAGTTTTTCTTACCTGGCGACCATAAGTATAACCATGGCCGTCCTCCAAATTGTGTTAATACATACATAACTCAACAGGTTATGTTGTGCATTTCTCTCTTGACTGTCGTCAGGGTTTGCAGCTTAAATAAAATCTAGTTTTCTTCCAGATATTCTTACCTAGCTCTTCAAACAATGGATGCCTCAAATGAAATACGTTATCCATATAAGCATCAGTCACTTGGTGAGGTTGCGATGTTAATTTCCTGTTACGGAGGAAAATTCTTCTTTTTCGCAGCTCGGTACGGCATAGATAGAGCAAGGGATGGTTACGGCCCCTGTCTCAACGCACGGTAGGTACGTGCGCGAGCCTTCAAATCGTGGTCCGTAACGTTGTTGCTTCTGCTAGACAACGCAGCTTGGCCATAATGCAGTCAACTGTACATGTACACGTGAGTTCTAATCACTACGCAGGAGGCGTGGTTAGGCCTCTATATTTGCCTCGTGTGAACGTGGCAACATAGACGTCCGATGCGATTTTGACCCCCAACAAAGAGCCGTAATGGTTGCTTATGCATAATGTATTATCTGTAAACATGACTACAGCATGTGCTCGACGGTCGCGCACTGACCAATGGAATCGAATTTTTGCGAGGTTGAGTGTGTTGTCAATACAGCATGAGTTTCGGTGGCTTAGCACAAAACAATCACGGCATTGGTTTACGGGCTGGTGTCCGATGGAACATATTCACACTTGTGCGTACAGAGTAGGCCTGACTCGCAACACATGCACAATAGGCATGTACGTATTGACCCGTTTCACCCACCAGACTGGAAGAAACAATACCACCATGTGCGGGCCACCGTGGCAACGGTCGTAGCATGTATTCCCACAGTCAGCTTGAGCGCTTGAAACCAAGTGTAAGCGCACTTGCAAAAGCCGCATGCTTGACTAGTTTAGAATCACAACACAACGCGGTCCCACACGATTGCAACATCACAAGAAAAAGGTATATACAACGTACACAGTGGTAATCAGCATCCAGGCAAGACCGTCGTAAACGGTTGTAGGCCTTACCCTTGCATGCGAGGTAGGTATGAATAGGAGGCTACAGCGGCACCACTGGCAGTGTTTGGCCGAGTTGTTAATTACAGAGGGAATTGCAGCATGAGTTGTCTCAATTGTTGCAAGCAATACTGTGGATTATTTGGGAACTTCAGGTTTTAGAGCCAAAATGGTTGTTCAATATGTGCACGGTATGTTATTGTGTGCTATTATTGTCAGTATGCACTGATGCATATCCACGGCACCATTTCGATTCCAACAATTAAGACGCCCATGTCGCAGCTCTGTCTTTAAACAGCTGTGGACTGTCAGTACGTGCTTGCCCTCTTTCTTTTTGTGTAAAGAAATCAGAAACAAACCAAAACTTGAAGATTTTTGTCCACTATCGAGTTGAAATTCTGGCAGATAATCAACTGGATTTGAATTCATTACGATGCAAAAACTATACTGTTAAAACTCAAAATACTTCAACACCCCGAGACCCTAACAGCAAGTTAGAATTAGGCACCCAGGCCGATCATTAACTCAGCGGCATGGGCACCCACCTTCGATGTCACCAATTTCCATTTGCTACCCGGTCGGGCCAGCCCACGTCAGCGAGCGGTCTAGCTTTGGCAGGCAGGTGACGCCGATCCGTTTCGGCGGCAGTTTACCGCCAGGCCAGTAGGACACCACTCGCGGCAATCACACCCAAGCACCACTCTCAGAGTCGACGAACGGGGATAATAACAAGGGGGAAGGATTCGGTTCATACGGGCCACACTTCTTCATTCGCAAAACATTCACAAAAACCTCACCTAAGTTACAACTAAGTTATACTGTACTCAGGCACAACAACGTTAAGAAATTACAATGAGTGTACATTACCGATTCTTTCAAGATTCGAAATGGACAGTCATAAAAATTGACTACGTTTCAGTGCAGCAATATAATTAGCGACCAGTAAGCGATTATTTACATTACTATGCCATACTCACACTTGACTACAGTGCTTCTTTCCCGCGCTGGCGCACAAATAGGTCGTCAGGAATACTGATCTACTTGGGTCGACTACTCAAGAGAGGTCCAGTTGTTGTTTTAATGGCGCTTTTGGCTTGTTAGGCTATTTGCGCCAATAACTATACATTTATTCGCAATCTGTATTAATCAGCATCACATTACAGAGTTAGGAAGACGGTCCAGTTTTAGAGGCAGGAGGAAAACGGAGTACCCGGATAAAACCTGCAAGAGCGAGTTTGGGCTGGAAACCAGATGCACTTAAAGCCTGGTCCGAGCCGGGGACTCGAGCCTGGGCCTCATTCATTGGTGCAAGCGACAAAAGAGCCGCTACGCTAACCCGCTCTCAAGAGAGATCAAATCATGCCTTCCGCACGTCTATGGACAGGGACTGCTAGGCTAAACTGGTACACTGAAATAACTATACAAACAGACATACATAAGGAACCAACGATGGTAAACTTAAAATCCCCAAACCGGTACTGATACTGTTTTACGTTATAGTACGCTGATTCACATGAAATTAATATGTTTTCAGAGAGAAGAAGGGTTGAAGTCGCATCCCTGAACTGTAAATCCCACCCTTATTGTCTCTGCTTTCCTCTAGAAGAGTCTTCTTTCAATATAAAGTGGAAATTAAATTCTTCTCATATTAAAAAATATTGTTCATAGCCTAATAGCCTACATAGATAAGACAACAGTTTCTTTTTGCAAGAAACTTTATGTACAGTGGATCATTGTAAATTTTATCATTACTTCTAAAGTACAGAATAAACAGCTCCAATTCCATGATAGCACCTTTATTCCAAGTCCATCACTTGTTTGAAATTACACATGCACATGTTGGGGGTGTCATACAATAAGTTGTTTTACAAAGGTCTTTTGAGTTGAGATTTCCTACAGTCATCAATTCAAGTTTCAATTACAAAACTGGTTTTGTTTTATAGCCGAATAGTTCAAAATCCAACTTGTAAATGTTATAGAGCCGTTGAAGGTTCCTTGTGCTCATATTGCCAAAATAATGTTCCAACAATTCTTTGTCCTCTCTGTCGATACCATGGTGGAACAGCGGTCTAGACGTGGGGAAACGGAGCTGTTTGAGGTCCAAGTAGTTGAGCAGGAACTTCGAGTCCGACTCCACTGTCTCCAGTTTTCCAACGACGTCGTAGTTGACGCGACACGGCAGGCAGAGCTTGTACATCTCCCGCCAGTGCGGGTCGAATCTGCTGAGCTCGGTAGGGTCGGTCAGATATTGGATCCACTCGTCCCACGTCACGCGGAGCGTCTCGGGGTTGAAATCCTCACCCTCCGCCCCCCTGCGGTACTTGCGAACAATGTGCAGGGAGATATCGGTAAACTTCGGATCCTGCCCGCTTCGCGTGGCCTCACCGGAGATCTTGTTCCGGTAGGCCGAGATTAGGCGGGCGAACGGGTGGCGCACCTGCACGAACCTGGTGTAGGTGTTCAGATTCAGTATCTGCCGAAGTAAACTCGAGTGTGGCACTTCTTTGAAGCCGTTGTTCACATTGGCGTCGAGGAACGAGACATTCTCAACATTTGGCCGGAACCCTTCAAGTACCATGAAAACTCGCTTCCAATTGGTAGTTCCTGTCTGCATAGAGGGCGTCATCGAGAATATTATGAAAGCATCAATTTATACCGTGCAGTAACGAAAATAATAACCCCCTTTCTCTCTCTTATCTTTCCCGTTTTTGCTGCAGGAGTTGAGCATTTGTTTATAAAACCAATGCTTCTGAAGGTCTTGTTGGAATTTCAATTAATAAATAATTTACTCTGAGGGAATAAAAAATTGTAGTTGGCCTGTCAACCTTCACTACATAGTGGTTTGTCTGCAGTTTTTCCTCAAAGGCCATTTAAATCACTCGGTCGTCAGTATAGCTTTGCTAAGCATAGACCCAATCTTTTCAACACGACAGAAACGAAGCCCAAACTGCGTGACGTCATTTGAAAAGAAAATAAACTATTTTACAAAATGACGTCCAGAACCCCAACCCTCAATAAAATACCAACTTTTTTGTGTTTAAGTAATTTATTGAAGCTAGCTAAAAAGGCACTTTATCGACAAGTTGGGTTTCATTTTGAAGTCACAATGCGTAAATACATGGGCAGAGTGTGTATCTGGTGTCTACTAAAGCCAGCAAGACATCGGTACGTCCGTTCTTGTGTGTGCACTCTCCAACTCAACATAGACAGAAAGCCGAGTTGAGACTGATCCAACCTGGCCATTTCTGCGTCGGTGTTTGAATGAATTCCGATAAAGTGTTTCAGCATGCCTGACAGGGTACTGTTCTAATAACGGCACGAATGCCTTTACGTCTATCCTGAAAATATGTTTTGCACACCGCTCGATTAGATTCAGTGTTTTACTATCCCTTTTTGCCAAGCAGGAATTTCCTACATCTTAATTTGCAATAATCAGTCAATGCTCTTCCATAGCGTGGCTAAAGAGAAAACGTGCCTATACGCCAAACCAAACCGAATATGGTGGCAATCATCTTTAGAGGTCCAAAAATCGAGACTGGGTGGCTTCGTTCGTGCCGCACGATGATGTGTGCAATATGATACCCAGCCAGCAGATGAACACGTGTCACACTTGCCTTGGGGAGGGCGCAGTAAAGTATTTTGCTCTTTTTCAGGATGAAAAATCGGGCGGCATATCGTTCCTCCTGCTTGATAAGAGGTTGTCGTCGGCAGGCGTCTCTCATGGTTTTCTTGCGTCGGAGCTGAACAAGCGCTTGTTCCTGCATGAAACGATTGTCCGGATCGCCGTCCCGTCCAGAGTTCATCTGATAAGACACAGACAAAGGCTGCAACGGTTAATGAGGCAGACTGTTTACAAACCTCTGCACGGCTATCACGCGACTTCCCAAGACTCGGTTGTTAATAATAGACAATGAAACCAATAAACGAGACTTTAATAATACAAGATGCTAACACAAACATGCGCTTTACAATCGTGTAATGTGATGTATGTGCTAGGTTGACAAGCGAGGCTCAACGTCAAGTGCGCATCGAGGTGAACTTTTTCCCTCGAAATAAAAGAAACTTCTCAACTTATAATTCGGACAGAAAACCAATAGATCTCTGGACTGATGATGCCATACTTCGTAGGCCTATTTATTTGTCAAGCTTCTCTTTGCCAACAGGAAACAAACTAAAAAAAAGGAAAGAAAACAGTGCCGAATGCAGCATCCAGACTTGAACTGCCGACACCGTTCACTCTATACTGTAACGCTTTCCTCGGACGGCGTAGCACTCTACGAGGGTGAGATCCGCCGACAAGTTTTTTTTTTTACATTTGCCCCACAACCTTACATACTTCTAATAGAACTGTTCAGTAAATTAAGCCGTATTTTAATGCATTGCCATCACGCTTCGTCCGTTGGCATTTTCTGTAAAAGCCTCACAGCGGGGATGTCAGATCAGGTTTGTAAGAACTTCCAGAAGTAAGAACGTCAGGAAGTAAAGTTTAAGTCTAAAAGACCGATCCACAAAGCTGTACCGGATTTTATTCAAATTTAACAGCCTACATTCAAATACTCATTATATACAGAGGATTAAGTTGCATAATCGTAAAAACAAAATCAATTGGACCCAAGTCCTAAATTCTGACGTTTTACTTTAATAACTGTAAGATGTCCATTGGTTACATCGAAAAAAGAGGAAAGCTAACTAGTAACTACACCCCTAGTAGAATATTGCAGTAATGAAACAATATACAAAATTGCTCCTTCGAACTTTCACCCCATGTTTCGTCGTGGAAAGGAAAACCAGCTTCCAATGGACAACTCCTTCACTGAAAAATACAGGAACAGAATAGGACATGTTACGGCGAAAGAGCAAAGGCAAAAAGTGATGATTCAAAAGCTGTCATGTGGGTCCACTGACAGCTGCTTGATTCATCCCAACAAATCTGTGGAATATGCCAAAACTTGTCGTCTGAGTTTCACCTTACCTCACCGACTGACTGCGGAAAACGCTGCGAGAGGTTTTGTCCGTCAGGCTGCAGATCCTCACTGACGTCATCGTTTCTTGGATCGACAGAGGGCGCATATGGGGACACTGCTGCTTTCCTGGACGAATCCAGGGCCGGAATGGCACTGGAATAGCCTTGAAAAGAAAAAAGCACAAATGAGTTGGATACGAAGAAACAACAATAAAAAAAATGTGCTTGCTCGTAATCCCCGTGGGGATAGTGCTTTTATTTGGGATAGCTTTGTTTCAGAATACCTTTGCTTGGTGGATTTTCATGCTAACCATAATGCTTGTGTTGGGTAGACTTTAATGCGTATATGACAAGGTTTTAGCAAATCTGTAAATTTTGAAAAAGAGTGATAGTTGCCAAATCCTCCAATTGATCATTTGCCCCTCTTTTGCGTGTCGTCATATATGTCAAAAAGTATCAGGCCTTCTCATTTTAATTGCCTCTCTTGCTCTGTACCTTATTTTCAGAAGTAGTGGCGTCATGCAGCCGGGGGAGGGGCAGGGGGCAACTCCCCCCGAATTTTTTTTCGGTTGTTATGAAATATTTATAAAAATATTTCACTTATCAGATAATAGCACAAAAACGGTTAACCCATGAGAAAACAACACCATTCAAGGATGTCGGGACCGTGAGTAAAGCGTTTGAAAATTTTCTCCCCCAACATCCTTATGTTGCATAAACCCAGGGTGGCATTAGCTTTTGAATTTGCCCCCCCCCCAGTATGTATGTGCCTGCGACTGGGGACCCCTATTGCCTCTCTATTGCTTGTGCTTAACACTTTTCTGGAAGACCATCCATATGTTTTGTACACAACGGTCAACTGGGGACCCTTTGTGAATCAGTCACCTTATTGCCCCTTAGGGTCCCGAATTGAATGCAAAAACAAACATAACTCACTCACACCAAACGCTGGATACACCGCTGTTTAGAGGCATAACTGCTATTACTCTATTATCTAAAAAAAAAAGGTGGGTCCCGAAAGTTTCTGTGTGAGGTTGAGGCAAATAAAAAGATACGAAATTTCTTTGTCTGATCTTCATGGCTTCATGAATTACTACCGTAAATTTTTCAGACTTTTTATACGATTACTAGGAAGGTCGTTTCGTTTTCGTTCATTTCCCAAACTGCCCTCTTGTGTCTTGGTGTGTGTTGTTTGGAGTGGACGTCGTCCCTGTTGCTGACCCCCGATCTGCCGAAGGATTCTTTGAAATCATGTGTGAGGCCTCCTAAGTCCTCACAAGATCCCCACTCATGTATAAACATGGGTGAATCGAGGGAGGCAGAGGGCCAATGCTATCCCCCGAAAAAAGACATTTGTGCGAGGGAGGGGGGACAGTTAGAGAATGCCTATACTTTATTCTTTTTCATTTCCATTCCTTCCAAGAGCCAGTAAAAAGCCTCAAACGTAGCCCCATCATTCACAAAGTGGTTTACCCCCCCCTAAAAAAATTATCCAAACCCCAAATGGTTCTAGATTCGCCCTTGGCCAGAAACAAGCCCAATCAATCTTTCAGGAACAAAGATTACTGAACTTACTATAAGAAATAACAATCGCTGTCGTACATGTGGTTAGCAGGACTAGACAGACAGCAAGCCAATGCCTCAAAAGTCTTTGAAGATATGGCGCAACCTTTAAGAAAAGAAAGAAAATCGTTTGATGATTTCATCAAGAACCTTCAGAGAGGCCATTTTTAGTTTGGGGGATTTCAACCCCCCCTTCAAATCTAGGCCATGAAAAGAAGGCTCGTATGGGAAAGAAAAGAGGTCGAATGAATAAGGTGTTTCACGATTTTCATAATGCATTATGAAATCACCTCCGTCAGTAAATGCACATTTTGTACACAGCCTGAACTTGAAGGGTTCGCCACCTTTTGCTATGGTTGAACGTTTTGTGGCATTTCCGGTAAACTGCAGTCGACAAAATTAACAGCAGCTGAGTCAAAATGTGCGCATTAACTGCGTCATCATAGAAATGAAAACAAAGTGGATGACGCTTAAAACTAGAATAACCTTGAAAATGCACAAATTAAAACAAACATAAAATATCCATCCATCCATCCATCCATCTATATCTATCTATCTAAATAATTATTACGCATACCTTAAGTACTTCTTCCTCTTGGCGTGCCATTTGTCGCTTTCTGATTGAATGTGTCTTGATGGGTAGACGGCAAACAGTCTATTGATTATGTCCTAAACTTTGAACGTGAGACGACAGCGGGCCTGTTTCCTTACCCAGTGAGTCACTTTTCTACAAATGTCACCGTACATCAAACGATCTGCCTTGGAGAGAAATGCAAAGTTTTAATAGTATCTCCTGCCCGATGAAGATAGGTGGCATACTCGCACTTAGTCCAAAACGCTGGGGTTTCCCATGTACCGCACAACCAAAGCGATCAACTTTTTTTTGCAACATACTGAGGAAAAACGTTCTAGACTAAAACCTCAAACTCTGAATGTGAAAAGCTAGGGTGTCCATCTCTGTCACATGAAAATTGCTGTGAAAAGAGCGTAATAGATGCGCATGTAGTGTTCTGCCATTCCCTGCTTCGCGCGGTTTTTCTGCACTGAATGTACAAGGCTGTAGGGCAAAATCAATGATCTCTATGCCCTGGATAGGCAACAAGACGCCTATATGTGAATGAAGTGACCGCGTGACCGTCTTAGGGTATCCAATACAATTGCCTTCAAATTTAATCCATTCACTAAGTGCATTCATGCAATGCACTAAAGCCCGTGACTTGGAAACTGCCAACATTTATTGTACAAGGTTGCCTCACAGTGGCTTCAATTCGGAGCAGAGGTGCCTGTCCAGTGCTTAAGATAAGTGGGCACAATGCATCGGAATAAAAGGTGATCGCAAATTTCACTGCTTTATGTTCCTGGGTCGGTAATTCCTGCCTTCATCTGGCAGGATTGGAAATATTAAGAAATCTCGAGGTCCTAGAACGCGCAGAGACTCAAAGTATCGATAGCCTTGTCATCAAGTAGGCTATCACCTTTGTTGGATGGGATATGTCAACCCCATGGACCCCAAAGAGCTGCCTCAACCGGTCCCGTTCAGCGAGGTAGCAACGGGCAACGTCCCAAGAGATCCCCTACACAATATTACAAGAATAGGGCCTAAACCATCAGACCCGGTACAGTAACTATAGGTGGGCCAGACCGCAAGGCCTGGAGATCGAGCCGCCGCTGAGGAAGGCACAAAGCTCTTCAGACAACGAAGAAAATCCCCTACTGAGGCCAAAACAATGGAGCGAAAGAGGCGGGTAGAGCAACCATGGTCCCCAACAACGATTACGTGCCCCCACCCTCAATGTCCTGCTGCCTGTTTCATGCGAGGACTGGCCTCTGAGCCATATGAGAACCCACCAATAACCAAAGTGAGACGCGACTCTATCCTCCGCACTTGAAACAGACGACGACGCGTTAAACAACCGAAGACTGGCACAGGAGATATGCCAGTCTTAGCACCGAAAAAGACCAATGTATCTTTTAAGTGAATGACAGTGTTTTAGCAAAGAACAATAGTGAGAGCAAAAAGCTTATTAAAGACGAGCAACAGCTATTGTGAGAAAACAGAGTAAATGTAATTGTTACCGTCTTGTGCGGATCCTTGTTACTTTCTAATTTCCAAAGGAGTCTCAAAACATTCAGATGAAATTTTCCTGTACAGCGAGCGATTCTGTCACCACATATCCATCACCAAACACACAAACCCTGGGCTGATGAGTACAATATTTCTTCCTAGCTAAGGATACATGTCATAACGCCAACCCATCAGTCACAGAATCATCGGTACTCGTCACTGTCTTCCGACTAAATAGATTTTTGTCTGAGGACGGCATGTCGCTATCACTGCCGTCCCACCTGCACGTCACGCTGGTTAACAGCCCACAAATATCTACATGCTACTTTGCTGTACAATGCCTTATTCACAAAGAAATGCGGTATTTTGAACCTATATATGTAAACAACAAATCGTTCAGACCGTTGTCTTTCAACTGGTAATGTCGCTCCTCTTTTGCAGAATAAAGAGGAGACGGAAACAATAGCGAGACGTCTCGGGTGAAGCTTAAGTCGCACAATACCTTTGGTACACACCACTCGTGAGTGAACATGGTGCATATACCTCACAAATTTACCCTGCATAATTGAAAGTGCTGTCCATCGTACAGTGTAAACATCAAGAGGTAGAAATGTAGATGGTTCCTTTGAGGATTTTGTCACTCAAGGTAAAGCTTAAGAGTGACCTCCAAACAGTGCAGCTTGTTCACGCTATCAAACCGTTTGAATCACTACACTTATGTGCATTGGGAGGCATGCGTAACTTCACTGTAACAAGGAAGAAAAGGGAAAAATAATTTCCTGCATCTTGATGAAACTGAAGTTGAAGAGACATATCAAAGAGGGCCAAGCTCTAGAGAGTTACGTAAAACTCGATCAACTCCATGTAATAATGAAACAGTTTGTCTGTTTAACATCCAATTAACATAAAAAGGCAAAGGTTTCTCCAGAAACCAACGGTTAAATATCAAAGGCGTAAACCTAGTAAGCCAGCTCGATATTTTAACCACCCATGCCAAAAATGAAGCACGTCCGAGTTCATTTTGAAACTTGTATACGAGCCTCTCTACCCATCAGGCTGGCCCACGGACTCGCTTGCGTGATTTATTCCTGAATGGGAGAGTTCCATATACGGACACCAGTAATTCTTCCCTACAGTGACTTAATAGCCATCAGAAAGCAAAAACATGTCCAGAAAACTTCAATTTAGGCCCTGGCGGAGAATACCAAATCATGTACTAAAAAAACAGATTATTTCAGACCAGTCTCATAGAGTTTGTGCACAGGGTGTCAAGTGGCGTCCGTGTATGGAACTGTTGCTCGAATGTCCTTATTTTTTTATTTTAAAAAATACTGAAACTTTCTATACTTGCACTCAAATGTTGAGTCAGACTTACCAACGTATGAACTGAGATTCCACCTGACAAACACCTCTACAGAAAACTCTATTATCCAGAGGTAAACGAAGGTTTCGAAATCCAAAATTAAGGTGTTTATTCACGACATGGCCGGTGGACGATTAAGCCGGCAACCGCGAGTACATATACATGTGCTTTTGTAGGGATGCGCACTTTTGTGTGGACGAGTGCTCCAAAGGAGCTCACGAGGTGCCATATTTCTTTACATAAAAAGCGAAAGCGATTTGTTATGTAACTCGGGCTCCGTCAAACCTTGTGTTTTTGCCGTGTCGAACGCAGTGCATTTAAATGCGGTAAAAAGTGCGACAAAGTCTGCACAGAATTGTGTCAAACTTCGAATTCAATTCTTCAATGACAGTCATATTTACTGAAAACAAACAAGACGGACAGAGAGAGGGGGAGGGGAGGGGGAGACTGATGCGAGATCTACTACTTTGAATGCAATCACGGCAGCCAGATAAAGGAGTTTTTTTCCTGTCATTTACACTTCTAAGACCATGTAATGCAAGAGAACCCCCGCCTCTGTGTCGGTCATTGTTTGATCGGAATCTCAGGAATTCTTTACAGACTTCTGGGGGAGGATGTGTTAGGTAACAATAGTCTAGAGTGTGTATAGGGATCGGACATGTGTGTGGGGGGGGGACCCATCGGCCCCATATATCGCGCACGGTATCGCTGAGTGCACAGAAAAGAGTAGGTTGGCTTGCAGCTCTGGGTCATTAAGCTGGCGGATCTCCATCCAACGATCGGGGGATTAAAACCTTGGTACTCGAAGCCATTTCAACAAACAAAATTAATGTACAAGCATTAAAATGAGTATTAAAAACAGTCTCTTTCCCATATACTGACGACTATCATGCAAGAATGATATTGTGACACATCTTTCCGAATGTTTAAATTATAGAACTTGTGAAAGAATACAGCGACCATTGGATAAATTTTAATAATGATTTTTGTGTGCTTGGAACAATCGTGCATTTATTATGTGTATTAAAGTCCAGGGCTTTAGGAGGCGTAGATGTTGGGGAATCCCCGAAAAAGCACCGCTATTTGTTGCATATCTGGTTATTTTTCTCCGAAGGAAATGCCCGACTGAGTGCACATTAGAAGTTCAGCAAACCTGGTTTTTCGAAACCAAAGATTTCAAAGTCCAACTGGTAAATTTTATAGAGCCGTTGAAGGTCCCTTTGACTCATATTGCCAAAGTATTGACGGATAAGAGCATTACCCGTTTTTTCGTCCTCACGATGGTAAAGAGGTCTGATTGAAGGGAAAAGTATGTGTTCGAGTCCCAAGTGGTCGAGTAGAAACGATAAATCAGAGTCCACGGACTCCAGTTTACCGATGAGGTCATATTGGACGCGGCAAGGCAGGCAGAGCTTGTACATCTCCCGCCAATGCGAGTTGAACCCGCTCCGCTCAGCGGGGTCGGTCAGATATCGGACCCACTCGTCCCAAGACACGCGGAGCGTCGTGAGGTTAAACCAGCCAGCGTGCGCCCCCTTGCGATACTTTCGGGCGATGTAAAGGGCAATTTGTTGAAACCGTTCTTCCTGCCAGTTCCAGGGGATCTCGCCGGAGATCTTGTTCCGGTAGGCCGAGATCAGGCGGGCAAACGGATGGCGCACCTGCAGGAACTTGGTGTAGGAGTCCAATTCTCGTATCTGTCTCAGTAGACCGGAATGCGGCAATACTTTGAAGCCGTTGCTATAATGGGCTTCGTATGACGAGATGTTCTGTAAATTTGGGCGGACACCTTCCAAGACCATAAAGATTCTCTTCCAGTTGGTACTCCCGGTCTGCAAAGTGAGTAATCAACAGAAGGACTGTATCAAATTTCATTAAAAAAGGAGCGATGTATTCCGGTAACTCTCGCCAGAACTGTCAAGTTCACATCATACAGAGCCCAGCATGAAGAGTACGTACGAAATGCCGACTTGTTAGACCTTGTCCCTAATGTAGTTGGCGGTTTCAACCAGGTGCACCTGCAGCAACACGTACCAAATCCAGTATGTACGTACTTAATATTTCCGTTTTACTAACCAGACTACCGCACTCTGGGCCTCATTTATGTCAGAGGGCAACGTGGTTTCAACGATTTCTGAAGCAAAAAAAAGCCACTCATGATTAAATACACAGACACTGGGTCGTATGAAAATTAAGTTGTACCTGCTTTTATTATCATTTTTGAAGCATCTACTCGTGTTTGTATGAATAATAATGAAGCAAACGCTTTTATTTTAGCGGTTGCTTCATTTTGTATGAATAAAAATGAGTCAGTTCTACAGAATTATTATATTTACTTGGCATTTTTCAAGACTGGGTCAGCGCAAGCTTGAAAACAAGGAGTATTTACTATAAATGGCAGCGTTAGCATGAATGTCATTCGAAGGGAAAAGCTGTATGCCTTTAGGACGGAATCTCAAGAAACCAGATGCAGGCAGCTGTAGGCCTACTGGTTTAAGTTTGGTAGAGCAATTTCCTTCAGCAAGGTTTTTGCGATACAAGTTACTGCCATCATGCTTATCTGCCATGCTGAGGTCTCAAGATACGGCACCGTGCCGCACTGTGTATGTAGGTACGTGCCGACAATGGAAGCCCTATTGTGCAAATCCATTCGGCTGTGCAGTCAGCCACAAGCATAAAGCATTTGCTACTACACTGTATTTATACCAGTAGATGCTGAATAGTAAAAAAAAATTATTCCTAAAAAACCAAGCATTTGCTTATTCTTAATGGTTTGACTTCTCAGTAAATGCTTTTGCCGTTTGCTTGAACTTCATAGCATTTGCTAGTTTGTTTTTCATATGACCCATTATCCCATCGATTGCAAGTAAGTTCTTGCCCCTCAACATTTTTTTACGATATTGCCACACTACATTTTATCAGGAGTTGAGCCTTTGAGAGTTTTTATCTTTAGAGTAACTCTTTCCAGTCATTTTTTATACCACTTCTGTGAAAATTAGACGTACTGTTCTTACAAAGCGCGCATTTTACCAAAACGAGTCAGCCAAAAATGTATACTTTTTTCCACTGCGGTGCATGCTCAATGCACTCGAGGTGGCAAGCATGTAGCCTTGAACTTCAAATAACCTTAACAACAAAACTGTTTCTCCGACCGAGTCAAATCTAAACAGTGATAAGGAGTGTTTTTACATGCAGAAAGTCTGAAAATTCGCGCAAGGCAGAGCCGATTTCTGGGGGGGGGGGTGGCGGAATCCTGCCCTGTGAGATGGCCAAAAATAGCCCGGCTCTTTTAGGGTTAAATTAAACTACACTTTTTTTCAGAGTAACTCTATAGTTACGAACATGGTGTTCAAGATTGCAATCTGAAATATTGTAGGTTCATATTGGGAAACATCTTAGAGAGACCCTTTTCGATATTTCCTGGATTAATAAAAACAATCACGAGCATGTATAATCCAAATGACAGTAGACATTAATTGCTGAGCAAGTTTTCTTTTAGTTAAGGCCGATCGCAGCCGAAGGTAGCAACTTCTAAAATTATCTTTAACCATAATTGGTATAAAAATAGCCTTTTTTTATTATTCATCCAAATTTTTTTTGACAGAATAAAAGCACAATCCGGAAACCATTTTCAAAACTTACTAAAAAGTTTTTATTAGTTTTACATTTTCCGTGAAAAGTAAATTCGACCAAGAAATCTCTCACAGCCGCAAAAAACTGTTCAGGCCGAGTCAGACCGAATGAATAATTATTCGAATAATAGTATTTCGATCAGCCAGGACTCTATATAGAAACAAATTTTATTGATACATGGAATTTCACATCATAACTGTTATAGTAGATTAAGTTTGGCTTGTGTTAGCCTGGAAACTGAATTATTTTCTTTCTAGGATTATTGAGTTTCAAGAAGGAAACTGATTTTCTTTGCTTTTTACTATTAACATTGTATTACCCTGTAAATGCTCGATAACATTTGATGCATGTATTCAAAAGTAAATGCTGGCTCTTGTAACGGATTGACTGCCGATCAGTGAATGAAAGTCGTTGTCATTACCTAAACAGCTCAGAGTGTGGAATGATGATTTGGCACCTACCTTTGGAACGGAGCAATAAAGTATTTTGCGCTTTTCTAAGATGAACATTTGTCCAGCGGATCGTGGATCTTGATGTAGCAGAGGATGCCGTCGGCAGGCTCCTCTTAAGACCTTTTTGCGTCGAAGCTGAACGAGCGCCTGCTTCTCCATGAACCGTTCGTCGGGTTCATCAGTCTGTCCCGAATTTATCTGACACACGGATAAGAGCATTATGAAACATTAAACAAGCACACTGTCTTTGAATATTCTCACAGAAAAGTGAGTGGACCGGGGTCCCAACAGCAGAGCTACAAACAAGGACGTGCTGTACGCACATGCACAAAAAAAAATTCAAAGTACACGTGTGCCAAGTTATTCCAAGTAAGATATTTCGGCCATCTGTGCTCATACATCCGCCAGTGACTCAACCAGTTGCACCCCTGCAAGAGGTTCTCGGGGTTTTTAGTTTCTGAAATTCGAATATCCAGTATACATAGACCAATATTTTAAGCAGCTAGGTCTTATGGTTGTAAGTCCTCGTCTCCTGTGGCGTAACCTTTGGATTGGGGGTGGAGGACTTGAGAATCATCAGCTAGTTTCGGAGGTAACAGTCCGAGACATTTAAGTAAGTTGTGCCAGCCCCTTCAACGATAAATCCGAGGGAACTTCTGACCGTTATTCAAACACTGCCAACAATGCTTGGACAATGAGATTTGTCAGGCTTAGGAAATCAGTATTAGGATTGGGTTTTATTCCAATTTTTAAAAATTGTGTTTTTATGTGTTTAATTGTGACAAATAGTTTCACTGGGTTGCTGTGTCTTAACTTGATCTGTATGCATGCTACCTTCTTGAATGCTTGTTGGAACCTCTGCGAAAAGTTCCATTGGAGAAGCTCGAAATCATCGCCGACGGAGTCGCCTGTCGTAGGCCTAATAACTGAACGTGAAGTTGGTGACAAATCTGAGGGCTTCCTCTGAGAACCTGGAAAAGTATTGGCAGTGGAGTATCCTGGAGGAAGGGAAGTGATCGGCAAGAGTTTCATATTGCGATAACACTCTGTTTGCTCGGCATCTTTGCAAAGAAACCTGGTTCTGAATAGTGAGTGGGAAGCTGCAGGTGTTAACGGTACATGTTGTGAATTGGTTAAATTTATTATTCTTGCAAAGGAGCAACCGATGCATTGTTTAAGAGTCACCGTTGGCTCTATCGATAACACTATCCTTTCCCCTGCACTTTCCCTTTACGACATTTTTATGCAAAGAAATGCTGACAGGCTCTGACATTAATTCCTCCTTCGATGAACAAAGCAGAAAATTTTGTAGGCCTAAACGGTGCTGACACAACCGTGCGCTGTGCAAACAGGGATTTGTTGCCCTGTCATCAATAAGCTCCGAGTAAATACTCATTGTTATCCCCAGAGTAAATACTTCCTCACGCTTAACGAAGATTTTGTCTCTGTTCCTCTTTATATTGTAGGAGATGACTTTGTCCCCTAAAAGCCTCTGAAACGTTGTAGTGAGACCCGTGCAAGCTCTTAAAATGTCATCGGACTCGATATTACAGGGCAAGCAAAAAGAACTCAGGACCAACTACACGTTCAAGGTTAATTATGGATGATTCTTAAGCTTACGGTATGAGGTAAGTATCCCCATCAGACAAACTGTGGTCAGCACAATTCCGCAAGCAGACCGAAAAGAGCACTGCCAATGAGTCAAAAGGCCCTGATGATGTCCTTGAGCCTGAGCCTGTTGTATAAAAATGTAAATTATCCACGATTAAGGAGACGTTAAGAGCTTTGAATTGGGAATTGGCCTTGCCAATGAAACCTGCGGCAAGACAACATGATTACTAAAAAGGGGGAACTGTCGAAAAGCCCGCAGTGTTATTTGGCACATCAGCAAAGTTTCGACAGGAGCGTTTCAATTGTGATAAAATACCTGCTTTGCCACTCTCGAATTTTCCTTGTAGTCGTTGAAAAAACGGTTACATAACTGTTGTCTCGTGATATGTTAATATTGACATTAGTACGCACTTACCATCGGTACATCCACCGTGGTTGACCGTTGATGAGATTTTTGCTTTTAGATTATTGTCCTAAGAGGCAGATACCTTATGCATGTGACAGTATAAAAATGAGGCAACACTGGACCTCCAATCAAATGCAACTGAGGGTGTCACCTCACCGTGCTATAAATCCTGCTGAAATATGTATAGCCAATTTCTACATACTTCTCTCCCGACCAACTAAAAACCTAGCTGGTGCGATATTATTCTTCATGAAGCCTACGACTTGATCTCGTAACATGGCACTGTCCAGTTAGTGCACCGACATGTTTTTTTTTCCAATGGTTGTGGAGGTTACGTAAGAAGCTCGAAGACTCTTTTGGCCAATGAATCAGGCTCAGCATGCATATTACGTGGGGTTGAGATGCTCGAAAGCGCCACAATGTAATTACTCCTTTTACGATCAATAGTCAAAGGCGATTACCAAGAGGACAACGACCAAACTTGGCAACCTCGGCAAGACTTGGATACGGGTCTACAACAAGTGAGGTTTGCAGCTTCACCGTGTATGATCTATCTCTTTTTGAGAGTGTTGGTTCTGAACACCGGTTACTTTTAAGCTTCGGGTAGTGTGTACTGCCTGTCCATCGGGAGCATGCCGGATTCTTTCTGAAAAAAGACAGTACGGGGTGTAACCACAAACCAAACCCTACAGACCTTCCAAATGTATCCGGTAGTGGTCTAGTGGTGTGCGTTATGAAAATTTTACCGTGCCTACCAGGAAAACGTAAAATCAACCCCCTCCACATTTACCGGGATGGTTCTGCAAACAGTTTTTTTTACATCTGAAGTATAATTAACTAGAATTTACCGTAGGCCGGGGACATAAATGCTTGAATGCTCACACTTCCCATACTGATATACCGAGGGGAACGGTAGCCTTATGTTATGTTGGAATCAGAAATGTGAAAGAAGTTTTAACATAACGATAAAGATTACTCGCAAAATGTCATGCCACACACAGAACGAACTTGAAATTGTACAAGGCTGAGTGTCCTACCCAAGCTAAACTGCCACACACTCTAGTTCACTCTGGTTCACTCCTGGTCAGCTGTAGCACACCTACATTATTGGACACTTCCTGAATAGGCGCTCTATTTTCTGCCTCGAATTCTGATTGGATACTGATCGTCAACGGTCTGACACATTTCACCTAGGCCTACGGTATAAAACGAAATAACACTAAACCCACTCCGGCCAATTTCCTATTCCCTCCGTAATAATGATACCTACAATATACGTGTAATTGTAAACCGGTTATATGTTATGTTGACAAATTTACTTGTATTGATCAAATAAGAGTGAGCATTCGTGTTCATAAATTAAAATTTAGACCGTTTTCCAATACTCAATATACTCAATAATAATAATACGACTCCGTATCAGGCGTCAACTGTTTTTTTTTACTAGCTGACTTTGAAGCTGTAAGCGCATTAATCAGTCGAACAGTGCCACAGAATATCAAATAAGATGCAAGAGAGCCAAAAACTATAGTAAGCCAATGTAATTTAAACGCTTCAGGCCCTCAATTGGGGATTGGCTTTGGGAACGAAGCGTGAAACGGAGCCGAAGTTGAATATTGGAAAACGGCCCTAGATTTCTAATCCGGGAAGAATAAAAAACTTGGAGGAAATGGCAATCCTTGATTTTATGTCATTACACAAAGAGCCCCATTGGCTATTGACATGACTTTTCTAAATCATTGTGTGATGACCACGTTTCCTCGTAAGACAACTGCTCGAGCAATATGCCATGTACGTGATCTGATCAACTATACCATGGTTAATATCGCTGTGTACGTAGACTGGTTTGATCACGTTCGTATGCTTTCTATATTTTTACCATTCTACAGTGCGTCGAGCTAAAGAGGCATAAACCTTGCATTTGGACCGAGACAATGGCTTAAAAAAAGTGCGTGTGACAATAAGGCAAAGAGGGTCTTTTGTTGGAACGATGTGTCACGGATTGCGGTAAGCTTTTGTCGTGAACTTTGGGAGCTTTCATTTGAATATGAATCGCCCAAAAAATGAAAAGCATTTTGTTCCACTATTACTTACTGTATGGTGTACGCAGGATCGGTGCCTGTATACATGTACATGTATAACAAATACTGGAGACTGTTGGAACATGATTGTGGATAGCTTTCTGTGCGACATTTTGGATACTCCCGGACTTGCTTCACGAGGACGTTGTTATTTGGAATCAGAGACATCTTATTATGTGTCACTGATTTGTACCCACGATGGCAAGGAAGAGCTACATCTATCTGTTGCTTCTCTCTGTACTTTACTCCCTTACTGGTGAAGTCGAGAGCGCACCTCCGGAGGTCTGCGCCTGGATCGTTACACCGGAGGCAGATCGGAAGGAGGGTGGGCGAGTAGAGATAAAATGCGTCGCCACAGGCCTTGGGTCCAACCACGTCGTGGAATGGACCAATCAGCCACCAGACCAAGTGACATACAACTACCACCTCCTGACGAGTAGTTTTGAGAGCGGCCGCTTGATGTACCAGACGGAGATCTCTGGAAGCACATTGACTAAGAGCGTTATCATCAGCCAGCTGCAAAAAGAGGACACAGGGGACTACTTTTGCAGCGTGTGCGAAGCCCGGGACGGACTGAAGATTCTCCTGAGCACTTCCAGCGTGCAGCTGTCGGTGTTGTACTTCCCAGGCGGGCCGTTCCCGTTATGCTCCCCAGACGGGCCCGTCCTGGTATATCCAGACGCGGAGCTGAACATGCTCTGCTGGTCGGACAGTGGTAACTCTGCTGTCGCGATGGAAGTGATGCAGGTGCCCGCAAAGTGCACACGATATCCCTGGACATCCTGTAGCAACGAGACCGTGGCAGCAACTTCGCTGACTCTGGCAGTGGGCATCCCCGACGAGGGGACATCATTCGAGTGCACCATCTCATCAGTGTATTTCCCTGGTCAGCGGCGCTCGTGTACCGTCGGACCGATCAGGATCGCAGGCCTTGCCGGATCTGCCAACGTCACCACCGCAGATCCCCACACAAGAGCAAGATCCAGTTTTACCAATGCGCCTTCAGCTGACAAAGAACAAACGCCAGGTCCATTCGTTCAAGACGATGTAACAGGACAAGCTGAGCCGAACAGGCCATCCTCCCAAGCCACAATTCCGTCCAGAAGTAAGCCCCACCCCAAACCTCACCCGAAGCCTCACCCCAAGCCTCGCCAACCTGCTGGTTTGTGGAAGGTAGCTTTCTTCGTCACCCTATCCTTCCTGGTCATCTCCCTCACCTTAAATGTTCGTCTTCTAGTGTGTATCCTAAGACCAAGACAAATAAATAATAATAATAATAACCTTTGTGTTGGAGAACCCCATGTCCAAATGGAGCTTCAGGACTTGGAGACAATCTCACAGCGCGTGGAGAAGCAACCAGAAGAGAATGCGTACGAAGAAACAGAACATTAAATTCAATGAGTAGGCTTTGTAAATAATTGTTTGTTTATTTTTGGTGAAAACCCTCAATCAAATTCAAGGAATGTAAGTAAAAAGACAGATTATGAAAATAAAATGAATAGGACATGACCAAAATGTAAAGCACCTCCATAAAACTGCCCTAAAATCAGACATTAGAGAAAAGACATGGAACGCTTCCCTTATACTTGGAGGAAGAAAATATGAGCATTTTAACCAAGAAATTATGTGAGAAATGCAACCCATTTTTTAGGTTGCTGATTTTTGTGTTCTTTAATTAAGATTAAAATTATGTTTTGTCAATATAAATATATTTATGTAACATACAACCTATTTGGCTTCTTGTGCTGATGATTAAAGCAACATGTATATAAATTACCATATAAAAGAATAAAGTGTTTATATTACAAAGGATAACACTCAGTGAATAATTTTGCAATCCATTATTGAAGAATCAATGAAGATGAACACATGTATAACAAAAATACGTGATGTGATCTTTTATTGCAAAGAACGGTCACTTTTGTCTTTTTCAGTTCTCTTACTACCACTAGATAGAAGCTTCTTTTGAATCTGTATTTTTTCTATTTATTTTCAATAACGCTTCCCTGATGTCAACAAATCAGAAAATCCATTTCCCGAATGGAAGCCATCGATGCAATATTAAATCAAGGATGTTTTCTTTAATCCCCAAAATGACGTCGGAGTTCTATTAACAAGAACATAAAAGATGACAATGTGCTGGGCTCTCCTACATCTCAACGCTCAACATCTGCATCCTTATGTAAACTGCTTAGCATACGAGTACCAGGAAATCCAAAACAGTCTTTCATTACTTGATATGGTTCATTGATTACAATGGGAGAAATTATTTACCCTCTCTTGTACGAATACCAAAATTGGTCTCACTTATTTTTCTAACATAAAATTCAAGTTGTCAGAGCGCTAAAGATGAATCTGAATACAATGACAATGTCCCCAATGACTTCGCTGTTTCCAATGGCCGCCTTGCTGTTTTTCATTGGTCAAATCGCAATAGCAGTTGCTATGCTCACATACGCGATAACGGCACAATTCAATGAAGTGATTCACGAAGAACAATGCCACTACTGATCGTTGTGCTTCACAGGAAAAAAATGGAAAGGTTTATATAAAATATTCTGTGTAACAGATTAGTGAGGAAAATAAAACAAAACACATCAAAGCACACCAACGATGTGTGCTTTATGGAGACATTGGCCAACCATTAGCTTGATATGTGGTCAGTCCGCAACTCAGAGGCAGACAAAGGGAAGGCCTCCCAGCATCCATCCTTTGACGCCAAAGGTGTGTATAAATATGAACCATGCATTGTCCGTAAATGGCTGAGTTTAGGCCTTGCCTTGTTGATTGGTGAACTGAAATCCTGTCCAACAGACGGGTGCGAGTGGGATTTCGATTCAGCTGTGAAACATCAGAGCAGCTAAAGCCAAAGAGGATTTGGCTTCATGAAGCTGAAAATCAAGGAGTCCACTCTGATTCCCTGAGTGATGATGATTGGTAAGTAATCTCAAACCCAGTTAGAAAGGGTTGATTTCATACTAAGGCAATCAACTTATGATGCGGTTAATATAGCTACGTTTTATCGGATGCAGAGCTGAATTGAACATCTGCTGTCCGTGTGGGAGACTAAAATACAACGCGTGCGGTAAATATCTGTAGATATGTTAACTTCGGATGTGCCAACAGCAAAGGATCATTATCTTTTATTGCAAGATGGGTTAGATCAAAGTACCTGTACATACACAGTTGCTGTTACCTGTGGAGTGTGACGCTGACTCATGGTGTACGTAAACACGAACCGTGTCAGACAAGTGTAGATGTGCATTGTGTGCCGTGGAATGAAGCATTTTCATTGTCGTATGTCAAGTACACAGCTGCATTATGACTAGTAACATCATCCATACCAGCGTGCGTTGCACAAAATGAAGGGTGCTGCGTTGCATAAAGGCGAAAAATAGAACTGGGTTTTTACAGAATTGAGACAGGTCCATTTTACCAGTCTTTTGGACATGAGGTGTATAAGTATATTCAATAAGTAGGTCCATTAACGAAGTATTATTTCGAGATAGAGTAATCTGAAGACGACTTATTTCTGTGGCCAATTAAGGCAAGGTAAGTCTATTTTACCAATGGTACTGTTGGGGTTTTTCAACAAGAACCAGCCTCCTCCCAAGAGTTATAGAGTAATCGTTTCTAGAATTGAACGTAAGTGCAGTCATATTTCGAGACGATTGAACGAAACCTGACCATTTTTGTGTCAAAATGTACTTGTAGCGGAAACTTATACTTAAATAATCATGTTTGCCATTAGAGTATTGTTGAATACATGTCCCTTATTTAGAGATTATAATTCACTAATAATTTCGGAGGCTGCAGTTAGAAAATAAAAAGCCATCCTTGAGGTGGATTTTCCTACATTAAGTTAAAAAAGTTCGCAAATGGACTGAAAGTACTATTAATTCCTTTCGGAGCTGTTTTGAATGTCAAACTTGGATATTTTTAATGGATACAAACTCACTTGATCAAGCTCCTGATACCATCAGTTCAGGATTCTATTGTGAACGAGGAGGTGATTAAAATATATCCAAACACTAGGCCTTGGATGACCAAAGAAATGCATAACTCGTTGAAAAAGAAAAGGATAGCGCACAAGGACAATAATCTCGAACAGAAACGTATTATACAAAGGGAAGTTAATAAACACACACCAGTATAAGAGACAGTTTGGTCAGAAGATTCGACAGCAGTTTCAACCAGGTAATTCCAAATATAGATCGAGGGGATGTCGTCAGGATAATGGGTTAAAGTAGAACATTCCTCGCAATAATGTTAAATCCTTTTCGGATGAGTTGAATGCCTTTTACAGTCAGTTTGATAAAATGGATTGTAATTTGGGTAACAAACGTTGGGAGTAGCACAAGGGTGTATTTTGTCCCCAATCTAATTTTTTTTTGTAAATAGCAGTGATTATACCTAACGAAGTGACTCCTGTGCTTTAAACAAATAGACTGATATTGCTTTGTCTGGCATGAGAATGGTAAGAAAGTGGCTTACAGAAATGAAATTTGTCAACTGGTTCAATGGTGTGGAAATAATTGTTTGGTTCTTAATTAATGTGAAGAAAGAAGTTTTTTTTTATTTTGTTAAGAACAGGAATCATATTGAACCTATTATGATCAATTACAGCATTGTGGAAATATAGTGAGTGATTATTAATACTAGGGTACGCATATTGACAATCGGTTAAACTGGAATCTTAATACGGACAGTACATAACAGTAAAAAGGCAATTCAGAGGACGTATTTCCTCAGAAAACGTAATACTTTTCAAGTGGACGAAACGATTTTAAAGTTGTTTTATGTCAAAATGTGTGTGTTTTTAGCATGAACGTCGGGAAAAAGGTATCAGGTACTCTTTAATACACGACGGATAAATCACTAAATCAAAACTAAATAAGTCAATGAAACATTCGACAAAATCTTTGACATTGTTCTCATCGACCAGGAAGACTTTTTTGATTTGTGAACACGTGAGTAACATGGCTGAATTGGTTGCCTGTGGACTTCCCTCTAATGAACCTCTGGAATGCGCTGTTTGCTGCACAGAATTGATCGATCCCAGGTTACTTGATTGCTCGCACAAATTCTTCCTGAAATGCCTCCAAGAGCTCACACAATCTCAAAACGAGGATGGAAAGAGCATCGTGTGTCCGTTGTATCGGACCAAAACCATCATCCCCAAGAGTGGACTGCCAAGATCGAGTTCCCCCGCCAAGGCAGGACAACCAGAAACAGGTGAAGACCATCGCAATCTCAAAATGTATGCATTGTGAATACTACCTGTGTCAGGCATGTGAGACAGCAAATCAGCGCTTTGCTCAACTGAAAACACATCAGATTGTGACCTTGGTGGGACTAAATAAAGAGGTCGTACTGCAAAGCAAAATCAAGTGCGAGATTCATGCAGATCAAGAGCTTTGCTGTTATTGTAACTTGTGCGAAGTTCTTATTTGTGGGCAGTGCACTGTCTCTGAGCACAGCAAATTGATACATTCTCTCAGCAGCATAATCGAGGCTTTAGGCAACTGCAAACACGAAATCAGTGAGTTGATGTCTGAAGTTGACAGAAAAATTGTAGGATCGTTTTCAATGAACCCGGCTCCTGAACACTCCCAAAGGAGACTGTGCATGATGCTAACTAGAACAAAGAATCAAATTTCTTCGAAAGCCAAGAAAACGATTGCCAAAATAAGGCAGAAGGAAGAACAGCTATTAACGAGAGGCCGATGATGCTTTCGTCAAAACGTATAGAAAACTCGGCGTTGTAAAGGCTGCTCAGGAAGCTCTGAAGTCATGACTTCATCTAGCCCCCACAAGATACTTGGGACAAGAAAGAAACTTCTTCTCGAATTGAAAGCTCATGTTGACCTAAAGACGACCAGACACAAGGAGGCATTTAAACTATCACATTTAAACTACCTTGCAGTACTTTCAACAGGGGAACCAGATATAGTACTCGAGCCATCAGCCCTTGCAGTGAGTAAGAATGACGACCTGGTCGTCTTGCACGGCCGGTATATCAAGGTCTTTACTAAAAATGTTCAATCGGTCTGTCTCTTCGAGCCAGGAGGCATAGCAGCGATTGAAGGCACACCAACATGCCGTGCATGCAATAACAACCTGATAGCAGTCGGTTATACAGAAAAAGAACAGATATCGATTCACCATCTTGACGGATCTGTGCTGAGAGCCATACTGGCTCCAATGATTGGGAAGAACCTGATCATCAGCAAGGATCAACTTTTCGACACAATTTAAATGAAATGTTAGTTAATGGTCGTTGACCTCGAAGGTAAACAAGTCTTCAATATTGGAGGGCTGAGTCAGAATCATAAAGGAGTGTGTTGCGATGAAGCTGGAGATGTTTACAATGAGGATAACGGTGGAATGTACGTTTATAATAAAGCGAATTGCAACATCATTTCCTGGTTTCCTGTAACCGGAAAGACCACCATATTCTCGCCAGACGGTGCATTGCACGCATGGCAGGATGGAAGTATCAGCACTTTTAAGACGGCAGGAGAAAAGTATGTACATGCATCGAACAAAATAAACATTTGCAGGAGCAATTGTAGCAGTCGCCATCACACCACAAGATGGGTGATCGCGTCACTTCTCAAGCATTTACAAGCTTAACTACAATGGAAATGTAGTGGCCGGTCCTTCTACAGTTGTCAGGAGGGTGGAGATCCGTCCGCCAATTAAGGAGGAAACGAGGCACAAAACCAGGCAAAAAATAGACTCGAGGCGACTGTGGCTTGATTCCCTTCGCTTTATTTCCAGGTGTTAATCAGCTATGAAACTGCAACCAAAAAGAAACCAAAAGAAAAACCTTAAAGAAAGACAAAGGACAGACTATTATTGAGTGATGGCTTACATGTACATCGTAATAAACGGTACATTCGCTATGTCCATGATAAATTCACACAAATTGGCTGTTTAGTTAACTGGCCTTGCCTTCGCTGATGATGTTGTACTGATGAGTGACACAGTCAAAGCAGCACAGCCCCTATTCGACCGTTTAGAATCTGTCATGGGTCGCTTGCTGAAGACTCGACGTGCTTTGGAGGTGTTGAGCAAGTGATTAAACTATTTATCGCGTGCATCGAGTCAGTGCTCTTCTACTGTGGGGCTGCTGGACGTTGACAGAAACGCTCGAGAAAGCAATCGACGCATCACGTCGAGCCTTGTTACGCTACTCACTGAATATCAGATACCCTGAATGCATCATCAATGCTGAACTGTAACGTAGATGTAAAGTCAAACCAGCATCAACAACGCTTCGCAAACAGCGCCTACAACTGATAGGACACGCAATTAGGCAAGATGCTCCGCTGTCATTGCTCCTGGACCAAAACAGCCAACAAACAGAACCATACCGTAGAGGCGGCGCACTTATGCGAACCTACCAACAACAACTTTCTGATGATATGAGGATTGTTCGAATCAGCCTCATCATCAGTTACAACAAGCCACATTGAATGCTGAACAATGGAAAGTGACAATCAACCTAATATGTTAGCCACTGAGCAACGCCCGTGCGCTGCTGGCGCACTGGCGTCACCATGATGATGATGATGATATATTCACACTAAGAACTGTCTCTATACAATCATAAATTCTTTAACCCTGACGTCTAAAAGTTTGCCCAAATTGGTATGAACTCTTGCGGACGGAAAAGGCCTTAAGTTATCGATATCCCACAAGGAGCCATGTTGCTGTGACTGCCAGCCCACCAAGGTCCAGGTCTCAAGCGTTGGAACGGTCACTGAGAAAAGCCCAGAAACTTCTCAGGTGCGCCAAAATGTAATACAATGTAAGCAACTTCCGGCCGAAGGGCGTGGCTTAGAGATAATTTAAGTCTGCACACGGCAAGGGACGCTCATACTCACGCATTGATCTCGTGCCAGAGACCGGCAGGTCAGAGTTCATATTCGCACCAAAAGTAATTATCTCACCGGAGAAACCCGAG